ACACTCACACTTCCAGACACAGACACTCACACTTCCAGACACACACTACCACACACACACTCACTTCCAAACACACACACACACACACACACTCACTTGTTCCAGACACACACACACCCACTTCCAGACACACACACACTCACTTGTTCCAGACACACACACACTCACTTCCAGACACACACTAACAAATTAATTTTATTTCTTGTTACTCCTAGCTTTAGGAGTTCTCTGGGGCCTCTCCCTGGGGTCCAGTGTCTTCGATGATCTTCCTACTTCTCTTTGCTCCCTCGCGCAGTTTAGTGATGCGGGGCCGGAATCACGTCATATTCCGGCTCCCGGCATCACCAGAGAGGATGCGCGAGGGAGCAGGAAGATCATCAGCAGAGGCCGCCGCCTGCCTCCTTCCTCATGCGGCCAGTATATTGCTGCAGACTAGGCACCTTCCATCTAGGACAAGCATGTGCCTATTCTGCCTTGGTACCGGGACGCCCTAGGTGGCCAGTTGCTCTGCGCGATAGCCCCCTCCTCCTGGCACCAGGGACCGGCCCTGCAGTGGCTGTTTTTCTAATTATTTAGGGTGGCCAGGGGGGCAATTGCCTCCTTGCCCCCCGGCCCAGCCCGCCCCTGCTATTAACTATCTTGTATACAATCCGTCCAATGGCAGAACTAATATAGAGAGGGCCTTGGTGCATGAAATTGTTTTGGGCCGCCTCTAGTGCAAGGATGGCTAAAAACTAGATCCTTAACTACCGTGCAACTCCTGCAATGTTTTGCCAGTTGGAGATCTACCATTTTACCATCCTTGCAGGTTTTTAGTGGTGTGTTTGTAAGTAGAATGTTGAATACAGTGGTGTGTTTGTAAGTGCCCACCAACTATGGTCCAGCTTTGAAACACCATTTGGGAGTTACCCTGCCCAGCTGCTATTAGCAGCTTTCCCTGGGTGCACCTGGTTTGGCACTTTCCCTTCATTCGTATGGAACCAACTGCTAGCTCCCTGGTGGCTGTTTGCATGAACCAAACCCCAAAATGGTCCTCAGCGGTACTTAGCCGCGACTGCTATGAAAATAATTTTGGCACGAGGACTTCGTGGGCATGATGTAACTGTGCAGTTCCCGGACAACTTGGTCCGGGGTTTTGAACCACTTTGCAACCCGTCAGGAGAGCGCTTTTTGGAGGGAAGGTGCGTGAGACTAAATGGAACAAATGCTACATGAGAGCCAGACTAAGCACCCCAAATTGTGGCCGCAGGAGCTCCAGAAAGTTGACCGTCAAAAGCACCAAAGGCTCTGGAACTATTTTGGGCATAGGACCACGTGTGCGGCTAGTCAGAATTTTAACACGGTGGCACTACATGTATCTGAGTGCTATTTGGACAACTTGGGTACTCAGATCAGGGCTATTTGGGGATGTATTATTTGTAGGGTTATTATATATTGTTATGATGTTTTGGGGTATTTTTATGGTTTATGTTTTTTGTGTTTGCCTCTCTTTTCCTGGAAGATAATTAGCTTACCGGTCTTTAAATGGATTATTTCCCACAGAGATCTTTGGGAGGGGCTTGCATTGTATTGTGTAGAGACTCTCTGCTAGGGGTTGGGTATTTAAGCAGGCAACTTGGCCATGATAAAGCAGTTCCTTTTCACCCTTCACTCAGTCTGGCTAGTGTGGATCGGCTATACTCTCTGCTGGTGAGCTTAATCACTTGAAGGTGTACCCAGGACCCTGTTCAAGGGTGGGAACTGCTATGGTTAGGGGCTGAAACACTCCTGTGTCCCGGTGGACTGCCAGTCAGGGTGACAGGCGGTCCGTCATAGGCCCATATTGCAGTCTGTTGCAGGTGAAGACTATTCAAGAGCATTTATGGGACACAGTTCTTCTCTGTGTGCAAATTTACAGTTGCTGGAGTGTGTCACAAATTGTGTAACCTAACACGCAGAATAATAACCCTCTGTGACGGACCGCCTGGCACCCTGACCGGGTACCTCTGTCAATCGCTGCTTCCTAGTACTAACGAGTACCATAAGCACTGCGCTGGAACACCATAACTACTGCAAACCCCACGAACCGCCGCAGCTTGGTTGGGATCTCGCGGTCTCCTACCCACCCTGGACCTATGACCAGGATCCAGTTTCCAGTGGGTAAACCTCTCTTAGTCCAGAGAGCATAGCAGGAACAAGCTCTTACAAGAGCTTAGTGATTATACTCAGGGGAGTATAGTGATTATAGCAATCCCCCAGAGTGTAGTTCTCCAATCTCCCAAACTTCATAAGGTGCAAGATGATCTGAGCTTTAATGGTTCAGGTTGCGTTTTATACAATTTTCCAGGCCAGAGGAACATCCCCTGGACCTGATGGGGCACAGACACACAAAGGACATGAACCAATCAGAACAAATATACAGTCTGTGACACACCTAAATACAGCACACAATCCCTCCCCTCTGCTTGGGAGATAATTGAGTAAAGTCCTGTAAGTAACTCAATTATCTCCAGGCAGAAAAACAAAATTTTCACAAAGTTCAGAAAGTACCCCAAAACATAACATACCCCCCAAAATCACCCAGATCAGAGCAGGGGTTCAAAAGTTTCATGGAAGTCTCTTTTTCACCAGCTGCATGCATGGCTTCATTCCCAAAACAGTTCCAGGGAATTAGGACCAGCAGTCGGTCTCTCTTTGTGGAGTACAAAAGTACTTACATTACATGAATGGAGCCTTTTAAAGTGTGTTGGGCACGGTATATTGCAGGGCCCATAGTCACAGGGTAGGACGCAAGCAAACAGGCCCCTCCAAAAACTTGTGGTAAACTCACAGAAAAAGAGGAGTTTGTCACACCCTCCAAAAGATACAAAGTAATTACCTACACTGGACCTTATAATGACTGGACTGAAAATGTATAAAAAAGAGAATAGTCAAAATCAAGCCTACGTCAAAGGAAGACAGAGAACAACCAAAATGAAATACCAGAGCCGAGTCAAAGGAACCAGAAATCAGAGTAGTCAGGGAAAAGCCGAGTCAATATCAAAATATCAAAAAAACTGATACAAATGCACTCTTGGGACACTAGAAAAGTAGGATCCACAACAGGGCACTGAAACACTGGCTAAATGTGCTTTTATATGTTTGGGGGTGTGATTGATATAGCGTTGCCCCCAAAATGTGAGAGGGTGCCTGTAATTCCCGCCCATTTTACTGCCCATTGCCTGAGGTCAGCACAGCGTCCGGCATCCAGGAGACTAGCCGATCGCACAGGAAGACTGGAGGAGGCAGTCCGCCCAATCAGAGAAACAGCTTTTTGGGCTACTTCCGTGTTTTATTTCTGCTGATTTGGCATTTGCCTCCTTATTTTTGCTTTCTTATGCTCAAGATCCTCATGATTTCTGACCCCTTGAACCCAACAAACCCTAAACCCGTTTCCAATAAACACATAACACCATTTAAGTGGGTAAGGCAACAGCCACAGCATTCATTTAACAAATGCCAGCAACTTTAAACATTCTGTCAGGAATTACCAGCAGCCAGATACAATTAACGTGAATTCCAGAGCCCACTTCACCTGAATTTGTCCTCAACCAAAGCAGGATGTGACTCCCCAAAAGGATGACAAGTCCTCAAGGACTGCTATCCGCAATAAGCTTCCTCGATTGGAATGTGCCGTCATTTCCCAGCTTTCTTCTCCAATCCTCTCCCAGACGGAAACACAAGTCACAGGCCCATAGGAAAGCATAGGATTGGCTGAGACTCTCAATGAGGCAGATCAGGGGCAGAGCCACCACAAGCCAAACACAGCCCTGGTCAATCAGCATCTCCTTATAGAAATGCATTGAATCAATATATATAAGTTCAGTGTCTGCATGCAGAGGGTGGATACACTGAACAGCAGTGCCCCTGGAACCAACTTTAACAGCCATCTGAGGAGAGGCCACTGAAGGTATCCCTGGGCTGTAATGTAAACACTGCATTTTCTCTGAAAAAAACTGTGTTTACTGCAACAACTCTGAAGGGAATTATTATACTCACCAGAACAAATACAATAAGCTGTAGTTGTTCTGGTGACTATAGTGTCCCTTTAAGTGGCTGCCTGGGGTACCGGTCTCAGACAGGGGTCTGGAGACTCATGTCGCAATATACACGATACTGGTCAAATCAACTGGCACCATTTCTTGAAGACCCCCTCCCCAAATCTAAAGTTTTATCACTGAAGTTCTGTGTTTAAAGTAATGGATTTGGTAGGTTTGGTGGGTCTTTAACAAATGGTGTCAATCAATTGTGTGCTAGATATAGTACTGTGTTAAGTTAAGACCAGCTTGCAATACACTGTTCATTGTGACTGTCTGGGATATGCTCCTTGGGAGAATGGCACGTGGATATCAGGCAGCCTCAGACTGCTCTCCTCCTGAACCTGTACCACCAAGAGTAAAGTGAGACACTGTGGGGGCAGATCCAAGGACATTAGGCAAGGCCTTGCTCAATCTGCCATTTTGTCTAGGGCCCTGTGTGGTCTTAATTTGCTTCTAATACAGAAGTGCTAAATGTTGAGAGAAATTCTATTCTTTGGCGATTTCTCCTTATTGTATCCTCAAGAATAGCACAGCACCTGTTTTGGGTTGATAAATCTCTTAATTAGTCTTCCAGTCTTCACAGACCAATACAGCAGGGGTTATAAGTGCAAAGTAAACATAAATTTAAATTATTGAAAATTAAATTATGAATTCTAAATTATCACTCAAAGTGGCAGAAAACATATATTTTACATTTTGCAGTTTTGATAGAAGTAAATTTGCAGAATAAAATTGGACTTCAGATTACTGAAGCCCTGACAAGGTGAGAACAGCATTTGGACATAACACCTCGGATATTTGCATGTATAACCTTGACTTTTACCCCAGTTGTGATGTACTTAGATTTGGTTGATTGCTTCCTCTTTGCAATTTTGTCTTGTGGTTTTTGCATGTACAATGGGGAAGGGAGGTTGGGGAAGATGTCTTAGTTTTAACGTCTGAGTGGGCGATACTTTGTAATTTTTTTCTACAAGACTTGATGCTTATGTTTCTTGTTTCTCGTCGATCTCACTTCTTGTTTGAAAAAAGCTGAAAACCAAAGTAAACTGAGTGAGACTGTGAGTACATAATTTTTTAATTTTATTTTACTCTGAACTATATGACCATTTTCTATAGATTGTTTTAACTATTTTCTTGATTAACACATAAAACCCAGAAGAACAGGGATAAAACAACTTTTTTCAGGAATAAAAGTACATTTTTGTTCATTAAACTATTTTAGCACGGGGTACATTTTTATGAGTATCCCCTAAAAAACTTGACATATGCACATAAAGACATGCATTGTATATGAAAGTATATCGTTTTTGCTTACTACCGTTCTACTATTGTGTGGTTTGAAAAACAGTTAGCATCGTTACCAGAACAATTTCAGGGAGCAAAAGTCGTTTTAGGGTCTTAAACATCAACCTTTATTATATATCATTAACCCAAGAAAGTGGGTTAAACCAAGAAGACAAAATAAAAGTCAAAAACATTTATATTTTACTTGAATGGGCAATTGTTATTTTATGATATTTGCGGTGTTTATTTTCTGTCTTCTAACTTCGGTATTTTCATTTAATAATAATTTATTAATTTATTTTAATTTCTTTGAACCATAAAACAAAAGCTTTGGGAAATAAATCTAGATAAATAGTTTTAAAAGGCAGACTGAATCACTAACTGTGTAAAGAATATGTAATGTAATGCTTAATCTATTTTACTGTTGTAGTTTGCTCTATTACCCTTAAATATTCTCCACATTGGGATACAAGGATTCTCGTTAAAATGCTTTTTTTAATTATAAAATAATTAGCAAAGTTTTCATGATTTATTTGTTTTTATTGCACAATGGCGATTGACTTAAAAGGAAACTGAAAAAGGATATTAATCTAAAATATTCTTAACTGAATGATTTAGATTGTGAGAATTCCCAAATCCATTAACACTTTTAACATTTTGCATGAAGTATTGTGTTAACAATTTGAAGATGTTATGGGGATGGAATAATAATAATAAAAAAAAAAGAAAGACGAAAACTCTAGATGAGTAAATATTTTAACACAAAGATAAAGCACCGCGCTTACAGCAGCAGTAGCTTAGTATCCAACAGCTTAAAATACATAGTAAAAACAAAGAGAACGTTACCAGCGCTCTGGCCTTAATCCCCATGTGCATTTAAACAATATGGAGGCTCTTTAGTTTTATTCCAATGGCCATTTGAATATATAAGCTCACCTGCCACGTCAAGGCAAGCCATTTGATATGCTGATATCAGCCAAGAATCTCCAGTAAGACAGGAAGGGGTATTTTATGAACCCTTTCACATTTAACCCTTTGTAGGGCTTCTACACATACAAATCACCTTGCTGGTATCAGCTAAAAGGCAAATTTCCTGATGAGAAAGCACCCCTTCCTGTCTCATTCAGGGTTAAATATCTAGGGGTTTATAAAACACCCCCTCATGTCTCATTAGAGATGTTTACACTTTGTCTGATACCAGCAAAGTTTATTGTATGTGTAGAAGCCCTATAAAGGGTTAAATGTGAAAGGGTTTATAAAATACCCCTTCCTGTCTCGCTGGAGATTCTTGGCTGATATCAACATATCAAATGGCTAGTGTAGGAACTCACCTATTGAGGCTTGCCTTGACGTGGCAGGTGAGCTTATATATTCAAATGGCCATTGGAATAAAACTAAAGAGCCTCCATTTTGAGTAAATATTTTAACCTACAAATATTCTGGGGATTTTACTAGTGATCTATTGACTCGATGTGACTGTGTAGCAACTTACAGACACATACATATATCCTACATTAAGCTAACATGTTGGAAATTTGGATTCCTAAATATACCAGGAAAACAAATTCAAATACCAATAACTAATGTATGTGAATATAATTTTCGATATATATATATGCCGCCTCAGCTACAGTATTATAAAAAAAATCAGATTTGTCCTTCTGCCATAATTATTAACTTTATTAACAGAAGGTTTGGAAACAAGTGGTACTGAAATAATATCTATAACATTATACATCTCAGATGTCCCCAGATGGATAAGTATGGACGCAAATGCTGGGTGGTTTTGGTATTTTTGATTTCGTGCTCAGTAGTGAAGCAGTACAATCTAAAATGCATTATTATTCCGCTATCCTTTGCACGATCAAAGAAATTAGTCATTTTCTTACAGATCATGGTAGATTCCTACACACGTTTTGCTTAGGTATTACTAACATACCCGAAATCTGCCATTTTACTTGCGTGTCTGCAACTTTAGTTTTAAGATACAGTCAACACTTGTTAATCAAAGTATATCAGTCTTGGTCAGATATTATGCTGGGATGTGAGAGAAGAAAGAGTTAAAAAAAATACTGTCATATTAACAAAACCAAAAAGAAAAAAAATGAGGGCCGCGCTATCATTTGCAAAATGTGCACACCAAGTGCTACATACAAGTTCATTGGAAGGACAGAAAAGTACAAATGCTTCACATTCTCCCTTTCCTCTTTCATAATGCTTGTCAATACATGACATGTATTGAGAAAGGGGAGAACCCGAAATGTTTGTACTTTTCTGTCCTTCCAATAAACTTGTATGTAGCACTTGGCGTGCACATTTTGCAATTGATAGAGCTGCCCTCTTCTTTTTCTTATTGGTTTTGTCAATTATAACCCTGCTTGGAGCTGCCCTGGAATGTGTCAGCAGCGCAAGAGGAATTGATGTATCTACTTTTTAAATTATTATTATTTTTTTTTAATTCTTTATTTGTCTCAACTCACAAAAGATGTCAACATTTGTTCGTGAAGCATACATTTTGAAAGGTATCACCGTAACAGCTCGTTTAGGCATAGAGTATTCATCACAAGAAGAGTGAGAGCTGCAATGTGTTGCCTGTGAGTGTGCCGGTGAGTTGAGGTGTTTTTTGTTTTTGTGGTGTAAGCCTGTCGGTATGATGTTTGAGTGGGGTTGCCACAGGGTTGCACATCGTGAGTGCGGTCTGTATATCCGTGGCAGGTGTATAAGTCCCTTCCCTCTGTGGTTGGTCGTGCTATCTGTGCGTCCTTTTAAGTTATGAAGGGGGTGGGGGGGAGATATTGTCAGTTGTGTTAACCATAAGTAGGTGTCTGGATGGTATTTGTACTTGAGATGTGCCATGCATGTGCATGTGAAGAGTTTGGGCTTATTGTGTAGATCTCGGTCTAAGTGGTTCTGTAGCTCTATCGCTCCGTTCTGTGTCCCCTCTAGTCAAAAATGTGTGCAGCAGGTGGAGGCAAGAGTGGCATACAGTGAAATAATAACAAAATCTTAGCAACGAGGGTTAACCAATTATAGAGAAGCGTAAGTCCAGCCTAAAGTCCTGGGGTCAGCAGGTTTAGTGAGGTTAAACTACTGGGCACGTCCTCAGCTCAGCGGGAGGCCTGGATAAGGGCTTAGCCTCCGCTGGGGCCCGACATCCTCTCAATCAAGTCCCGGTTCCAGTGGATGAGGTGGGTCTCGCCGCCCATGGTATAACGTCCCTGATCGTGGCCAGGTCCACCTGTGCCAGATTCCTGCTCTCCGAGGTGTTGCTTAGTGGGATTTTCAGCTTCTGCAGGTGGCCTTCCAGCTCCCGGTAGGTTTCCGCTCGGAGGGTGGTGTCTTGGGCCGTTATCTGTGCGGGAAGGGCCCCATCTGTATGGCACCTCGTTAGTACGTAGGTGGTGGAGTAGTGGTCGTAGGGATTGGCGCCACAATGTATTCCATGATAGATCGGGGAAGAGGAGCAGCAAAGCGCCCTCAAATTCAATGGGTGTCTTCCCCCTCAACGCAGCTTGCAATATGGCTTTGTCTTGCAGGGAGCTGAATCAGAGGATGAGGTCTGGGGCGGTGGACGCTGGTGCGCTGGTTGGATTGGGGAGGCTGAACATACCGTCTAGCCTCAGGTTTTTGGCTTGTTTCGAGGGTAGGTGGGCTGCCATGAACCGCCTAATGAAATGTGGTAAGTCCGGCAGACCCACCGTTTCCGGCACCCCCCAGAGTTTCAGGTTGTACCTTCGCCTCTGGTCTTCCAGGATGTCAAGCCTGCGGTCGATCTGCAGCCGGTGCTGGTCCAGGGTAGCCAGGCCCCACTCCACCACAGTAAGTCGGCTCTCCTGTGTACTTTGGATAGTCTCTAGTTGGGGCAGTTGGGCACTCTGTGAGCACTCCAACAGCCTTTCTGAGAGGGGCCAGGTCTCCCGCTAGGTTTGCACGGAGTTCCGCCAGCATCTCCTTCAGCTGCGTTGTGGTGACCGGTTCTTGGCCGGTTGCGGCCTTTAGTGAAGCACGGTCCTGCCTCGCCACCGGAGTGGGTCTGTCCGATGGGGCCATAGCTATATCTTCTGAGGAGTATGAGGTGCCGTCGTCCTCAAGCGCCATTTTGTCCCATCCGGCCCTCTGCGAGCTCCGGAATAGGTCTCCAATATCCTGACCCGGTGGGCTCTTGTCTGGCTTGGATTTTTTATTCTTACGGCCAATGTTTGTTCTTGTGGTCTGGGAGTCGGATTCTGATGGGTCAGCGGGTCTCTTTGTCAGCAATTTCAGCCGTTATTTGGTATGTTTAAGCGGAGCACAGCGAGCATGCGACCGTCCAGGTTCACCGCTAGGCTCCGCCCCACTAATTTTTTGTTATTTTAAATGTTCTTTATTGCGGCTACTGCCATCTTAATTTCTATCTGCCTGTTATTTTTCTAATCACAACTATTTACATATGTCTCTCTATCTAATAATTTCTATTTAATCTGTTCTATCTATAACTTTCTATCTATAATTCTGTATCTAATCTCATCAATATATGTCTGTCTTTATATTTCTGCCTAATATTCTCCATCTATTTCTTTCTATTTATATTATCTATCATCCAACCATCCAACCAACCAACCATCTGTCCATCTCTCTATCTGTCTGTATGTCTATCTATTGATCTGTCTGTCTGCATGTCTGTCTATCTAATCTTATCTTTATATGTATATCAATTTAATCTTCTAAATGAAAATACTTCTTCTTTTCCTTGGTCTCTGGGAAATAGTTTTTCTCATTTCCCATTTTTAGTTTTAATTTCCAGTTTTCTAGATGTTATTTACCGTACCTTGTTTTGTTGCTTTTTTTTTTGCCCATTCACTACTAACAGGTTTACACAATTCTAAATGTCACCTTTTTTTCCCCATCTTTGTACAAAAATACAGGAGAGAATGTTTTAGCGATATCTTGATTTAGCAAATCTTGCACAATAACAGAAAGAATTTAAAAGCGAATGATAATTTTGGTAGCTGTTACAAAAATAGATTAATAGAAATGATCAAATGCACCACCCATGTGTAGGAAGACTGATAATCTTTTTGGGCATCATCATTGAAATGGAAATATACACTTACCTCTCCTGTCTTTGATTGCAAGAATACAGTGATGACGTTTGACTTGTTGTGAAATGGGGGGTTACTTACAGTCATTTTGCAAAATACAAAAATACAGACAGATAGAAATGGACTCTGCAAAAATAAATGTTTCTCTGCAGGGTGAAAAAAAGTTCTGGAGCAAAGAAAATGATATCTGGGCAAATCTGGACTTATGTTAGTTTTTTCTTGCTCTGCAACGCAGAATGAATGTGAGCCCTTGTATGTACATTGGGTTTGAAAGATATAATGCTCGATTTAAATTTTTGGATTTTTGGGACCTTACAGGATCTTTGAATCTGAAAATAATCTAAATCATTTTGTAAATAATCATGTCGGTGACATAACTAATTTACATAACAATGTTTTTACCTGCATTCTCAAAGGACTGATAAAAACATTTGTCAATTATACAATACTATGACTGGTGCTTTGAACTTCTAATGTGGAGAGATCTGGATGTCTATCCTGTATCGTCTTTTATATAAACAAAGAAACACAGTAGTGTGATAAAGAGGCGCCTAGTGATTTGAAACGTGTCAGATCTATAGCCGCTGAAAACACTCTGTGAGCACTCCAAACAGCCCACCAACAATATACAATTTTAACAAACGCACTAAAAATCGTTTAGGTGATAATCCCTTCACTCAATTGTTTAGGTGATAATCCTTTACAACAGAAAGTGCAATTGTAGCGCTAGAGTATGAAAGTGGGACTTACCCCTCCCATAAATATATATTGGATGTACATAAAACAGAAATAGATAAAAATACATATAGTGTGTTACTGTGAAGATAAGGTGAGTATGTTATCCTTGTTGTTGTTGTTTAGTCGTTCAGTCATGTCCGACTCTCCGTGACCATATGGACCATAGCACACCAGGTACATCTGTCAGTCACTGCCCCTCTGAGCTCCAACAACTTCATGTTCGTGGCTTCTATCCATCTCCGTCTCTGTTGTCCCCTTCTTCACGTGCCTTCAATCTTTCCCAGCATCAGAGTCTTCTCTAGAGAATCATACCTTCTCATTATATGGCCAAAATATTATAGTCCAGCTCCCACATCCGTATGTTACTACTGGGAATACCATAGTTCTGACTATGCTGACCTTTGTTGATAGTGTAATATCTTTAGTTTTTACCAGCTTGTCCAAGCTTGCCATAGCTCTACTCCCCAGAAGCAAACATCTTTTAATTTCATGACTACAGTCACCATCTGAAGAGATCTTGGATTCTATGAAAATAAAATTTGACACTGCCTCCACTTCTTCCCCATCTATTTGCCAGAAACTAAGATTGCTGTTTGCCATGATCTTTTTAACATTAAGCAACAAGCTAGCTTTTGCACTCTCATCTTTTACCCTCATCAACAGGTCCTTTAGTTCTTCCTTACTTTCATCCATCAGAGTAGTATCATCCGTGTATCTGAGGTTGTTGATATTTCTTCTAGCAATATTGATACCAGCTTTGGATTCATCCAGCCCAGCCTTACGCATTATGTATTCTGCATATAAGTTGAATAAATAAGGTGACAATATACAACCTTGTCGCACTCCTTTCCCGATCTTGAACCATTCTGTTGTCCCATGTTCGGTTCTGACTGTGGCTTCTTGTCCACATACAGATTCCTCAGGAGGCGAATGAGATGATCTGGTACTTCCATCCCTTTAAGAACTTGCCACATGTTGTTGTGAGCCACACAGTCAAGGGCTTTAGAATAGTCTATGAAGCAGAAGTAGAAGTTTTTCTGGAACTCTCTGGCTTTCTCTATTATCCATCGTACATGTTATCCTAGGTAGATGGAAATAAACTCACATGGAGTAGAGTCTTTTCTGTGGATATAGGCTCTAAACTCAGGGACTTGTGTGCCCTCAGGTGGCATATACAACCTTTCTTCTGTGGATGCAAACAGCTGTCGATCGGTAGTATATGTGGAGATGAAGGAAATACGATAAAAAAGTAGAAACTCCTAAGGGCAGTATTATTTATCTCTGGTGCACTAATATAAAAACTCTCATCTGGTATGGAGCCTATAGAACTGGCTCCAAGTTGTCTGACTTGGTGTCAATTTAGGGTGACACTCCTCTGGATGGAACCCAGATGGAGATTGAGGATATTCACAGGTAAATATAAATTAAAATATACCTTTTATTACCATAAAAATAAAAATAAAAACAAAGTGTACAATAACAATAAAAATAAAGGTGATGATTGATCCTCTTGCTACATCCAATTCCCGAGACGCGTTTCACCTGTAAATCGGCTTTCTCAATCAGTAAAGGTGTGTATTCAGGTTCCTGTTTATGCAGTGGTGTATTTTGAATTTGTGCTGCCCTAGGCATGACAGAACTGGGGTACCCCCTAATTTAAATTTGACCCACCCCTTCCTGTCAAGGCCACACCTCTACCTGTTAAAGACTAACACACTATTTGACTGACATACACACATACATACCCACTCACTGACCACTGACACATTCTCAGATACATTGACATACACTCACTGGCAGACACACATACTCACACACTCACTGATATGCCACAATCTGACAGACACACAATTTTACTGATTTGACACAATCTGACAGACACACACAATCACTCAGACACGCACTGACACACGCACTGTGTGTGCGTACCCCTTAACAAATGTCTAAACTCCCATGGTCTTCAATGCCCAAATACCGTACAGTAATAAAGAGAGATCTGCCCCCCAATGCTCTAAACTGTCCCGACGCTCGTTTTGCCAGTATTCATTTCTACGCATAAAAACACTGCTGTTTTTCAATTCCATCATGGCCCAGTTAGAGTGTGAACCCATATGTAAGAATTTAATTACCGTATTTCCTTTTTTTGTTGTTGGCATTTTCTCTTAGGGCACAGAATTGTTATATATACTCTTATAGCAGCGGCGTTAATAATGGAGCAACTTCCAATGCTAGAAGTTGCTCCAGCATTGAAGAGGAAAGACAAACTGTTAACTAAGCTAGCAATAATTAAAATTTAGTGGTCTTGGAAAAAATCGATTTTTGCGGTCATTCAGACTGTGCATTGCAATCTCACAATAACGGTCGCCGAGTGCGGAGTTAGCGTGCATCTACTCTTCTACTGTTCTTTTGATTGTTATAAGCAAGTGTTGTGTGAGTCATTCCCAGCACGGGGGTTTGGTACAAGATTAAACTAAAGAGACAGTTAGTCTTCATTTTACCAAATGCAACAGCACACAAAAACAGAAGTCTTCGTTTTACCGAACACTTCGATGAAATGATTTTTGATCATCGTTGGATGGCTCCAACATTTTTTATAATCCGGATGTCATGACTCAACTGTATTTAAACTAAATTGAAAAAAATAAATCAATTACAAAAATGTTAATGAGGAATGTCACACCTCCCCACACCTCACAGGTTAGGAACCCCTGTTCTAGAAGCAGGCAGTATTTCAGTAATTTGGGCAGAATGACTCTCTCACTCCGTTGATGTTCTGGCCCACAAGAGAACAAAGAAAGAATTAGAATGCTTAGTACACTTGGTATATTCACTAAACTCCTACTTTTTGCCCAATCTTAGGCATTTAACTTGATAAACTAAACTCAGATATTAGGGGATTTACATACTATTTGATTGTGCTTTACAATCCATATATGGCCAAATACACTGGAGTTAAAAAAAAAAACAACAAAAAACTACTTTTGTTGGGCCTATGCTTCTCTAGAAAAAATCATTTCCTGTTGAGACTGACTTTGTCACTCTTTACCAAAAACACAGTTACAGCACACAAAGAGCTAGTATAGTGAAAACCACAGGCTATGTATGTGTCAGTTTACTGTGAGAGCCCCAGATTTTGACAGTGAATGAAGTGATGAGGTATATGTGAAGCCACACATGGACTATTCAGTCAATAATTATCGATGATTCTGACCACATATGTTAAGTATAACATTTCACTGTTTGGTCTGAGAACCACAATAAAGTCTGTATAGCACCTAATCTTAGAGTTGCACCCTTTACATGTCAGAAGAGATAAAGAGGAGAGCGTGTATTGGTCCTCAGAGGGGAAATACATTAATATGCACTCCTTACAAGCACACCAACGGTCAATTCACCAAATTTGTAGTGCAAACAGGGGACTTGTGGTTTGACACCACAGTCTTAATCCATGTGCACAGTTGTGTACAGCAGGTGTTCCAAGTGTGCCCAGGCTGTGGCAGCTCTAGACTTTGTAAAGCCTTAGGCAAAACTCAACCATGAGGCTTCACTAACATCAATAGTGAAGAAAAATAAATAGGGGTTGCATTGTGTGTGTAGAAGAAGCTGTAGTTATATTGAAGGGCGGACTTGCAGTGCTGGATACAGAGAGTTAGTCTCTGTATTTTTTGCTCAGAGACCTACAGTGTCTTGGCTCTCTGTGAGTGTGGTAGGGTTGGGGGTGGTGACAGTGTGTGGGAGGTGAGTGACAGTGTGGGAGGTAACAGTATATGGAGGAGTGACAGTCTCTGGAGGTGTGACAGAGTGGGGGGTGAGTGACAGTGTGGAGAGGTGACAGTGTGTGGGATGACAGTTTGTGGAAGGGTGACAGTGTGTAGGGAGATAGGGTATTGGGTTGACTGTGCGGGAGGATAACAGTGTGTGGGAGGGTGACAGTGTGTGTGGAGGCTGTGTTTTAGTGACTGGAGGCAGTGGTGTATTCTGGTTTTGTGCTGCCCTAGGCATGACAAAACTCAGTCACCCCCCATCCAAATTTCTCTTCCTGACAGACACACGTGTTCACTGACGCATGCACTGACATACACTCACTGACAGATACACAGTCATTGTCACACTCACTGTTTAACCAACACATATTTTCACTGAAACATACACATTCACATACACATGGAATATAGCTTGGTTGCTGCTTCTAAGTGCTGCTTCACAGTGGGTGCTTGGATATATTCTGGATAGTGCTGCTTCAGAGTGTGTGCTTGGAGATATTCTGGAGATAAACTGGAGGTAATCTGAGTTATACAAGAGAAAAAAAAGTAAGATTTGTTTGATTTAAATTACTCACCTCATCTAATAGTTGTTATACATTTGTTTTACGTTCCACTTTTTGGAAATTTGGATGCTGTCTAATCTGTAGACAGTTCTCTATATTGCTGCAGGAGATTGTATTTTTGAAGTCTGAGATTTGTAAATTATCCGTTAAACAAACTGAGGCTGAAACTGTTGCAAAGCCACTGCCGCAGAGACGTCCTAGGAATGGCAGATGGATTACTGTAGGATCTGGTATTAGAGTTGTGGATAAAAGACATATTGCACAGTCTGTTGCTCTACATTAATAATTTTCAGCACTCTCAGAGTGTAGTGGTGTTATGGAGACAGGCTCAGGCTCCGAGTGTAGTGATGTTATCGAGACAGGCTCAGGCATCAAGTGCATTGGTGTTATGGGGAAATGCTCAGGCATAGAGTTTAGTGGTGTTATGGAGACAGGCTCAGGTACCGAGTTTGTGGAACCACCATCCTCTAGTCTATGTCAAAGTTGTGCAAGACTGCAGCCAATGACAAAAAGGATAAGTTGAGGCCTAATAGAAAGCAGTTGTTGTTGGGGGATTCTATCATAAGAGGTGTGCAGCTGGACAATAATGACCTTGTGAGATGTCTTCCTGGAGCTACTGCTCACAGAGACAGTAGATGTATTTGTAATATTGTTAAGCTAGCAAAGTAGGAAGGGGAGTTGGATGTACTTGTCCATTTAGGGTCAAATGACTTTGCTTGCAATGAGGTTTCAGAGGTAAAGGAAGTGTTTTATGTTTTTGTTAATGATATACGGCAGGTTGCTTCCACGCTGTCATTCTCTGAAGTTCTGCCTGTGCATAACACTCAGAATGACAGGCGGAAGTGTATTAGGCACTTTAACTTGTGGCTTGATGAATGGTGTCGGAAGCAAGGATTTGGCTTCATTTCTCATGGTAGCTCTGTTTAAAATGGAAATAATCTGTACAAAAAAAGATGGTTTGCATCTTTCTCAAAAGGGAACTAATATTCTCAGTGAGCAGTTCAGAGGTTTTGCTATGACGTATTTACACTAGGAGATGGGAGGGAGAGGGGAGGGGGAACAAAAGGGTGATAAAACCTCAATCTAATTGCCTCTCAAAACAAGTACAGAAGTGCCTGTAGCAAGTGTGTTAAAAAATGAGTCATGTCTACAGCTTAGAGTCATGTCTACAAATGCTCGCAGTTTAGGGAATAAGATCCATGAACTTGTGGCAATAATGGCAACTGATAATGTAGATTTAGTTGCTGTAACTGAGACATGGTATAATGAGAAAAATAACTGGGACATAGCAATACCAAGGTACTCTTTATATAGAAAAGACAGAGAAAGCAAGAAAGGGTGAGGGTTGGCCCTGTATAGACGGATTACATAAAATCTAGCCTAATAAATGCTAGTGAGGAGAACATAGAGTCAGTTTGGGTTACGTTAGAATTTGGTTATCACACAGTAACTATGAGCCAGGTACTCTGGGGGGGGGGGCTTACTATAGCAGCGCTATCTGCAGATCACCAAGCCAGGGGGATATGAAGGGCTAGCCTGCACTACTGTGGGGGCGGCATCTACCGCCGAGGGGGACCCACACAAGTTTTTGGTGGGCATGGCAACTGGGGGTATGGAGAGGGGGGGAGACCTACAATGTACAACATATGGGTGCTGTAACGGATCACCTGTCACCCTGACTGGGTACCTCCGTTGAAAGATGCTCCTAGCGCTTCTTGAGGATTCCAAGCACTCTAGCCGACACCACAACCACCGCAGGCTGAACCTCTCTTCCTTCAGAGTGAAGCAGGAATGAACTCTTAAAAGAGCTTAGGAGTGATTATAGCAAGGGAATATGCAGAGCATAGCAATCCCTTGTAGCAGATTCCCCCAATAAGAGACAGGACTCCAAATTGAGGATGAAGTAAAACTGACTGTACTGTCACATACAGCCTCTTTTATTCACAATCCACAAACATAGTACTGCCCACAGGGTTTTGAAATACAACCAATGAATCTGTACAATACACACAGACACTCCCACACAAAAGCCTCCCCTCTGCCTGTGATATGATTACTGAACACAATGGTTAATATAATTATCACAGGCAGAGAAATACAGTATTATAAAACATATCACAGGGACCCCAAAACATGCAATAACCCCATAAAGTACATCCTCGGAACCGGGGGATCTGGGTGAACCACATATCCAAAATTCACCCAGATCCGTTCAGTAGTTTGGAAGATACAGTATAATGCAGATTCCGCAGAACATATACAGGCTATATGAAAAATAATTACTGTATGATGTGTCCCCTGTTGTATAGTTTAAAACTACTGCACAATGTCTTTGTGCACCAAATACCGGCTAGATGGCACCGTGTAGAAAAGTCAAAAGTGTCTGTGAGTTAAAATGGCCGCCATCCATTGTTCTCACCATGTGCTTGATCCATTGTTCTCACCATGTGCCTCTGATACATGGAATGGTGGCCACCCAGTAACTCCACAGTATGTCCCCAGATGGTTCTTAAAGGGCCAGCAGCAGCATAATAAAATATAATATGCCCAAATCAGTTCCTAGAAGGGCAATACATCCCAGGGCCATAGTTGCAGGGCAGGAGGCTGGCAAACAGGCCCCTCCAAAAACCAGTGACGAGGTCACTTTCGCCACAGGTGCATCTAGCAGTTTGACAAAAACCCTAATGGGGTCGAAATGTGGCTGATTTTTTCTCCAATATGTCTACCAACTTACCCAGTTGCACCCTGGGAGCCTGGAGATTGCGGTATCCTTTCTTATTAATATATCAAGACTGCAGTCATCGCCAGGGTACTTAGTCAAATATTTGCATTTCCTGGAGTCACAAACACTTCTGAAAATACCTGGGTGAGAGAAGAATATTGTATCTATGAGAGAATCTATGTGATCTATCCATATCTCTCTCTCTCTCTCTCTCTGTCTCTATATGCTCCAGTCTTTATTGTTAGAGTAACTAAACAGAAATTGATTCATACACATTCAATTAGGTCAATTTGATTTCTAAATGTTCTAGCTCAAGAAATATGCTATCAACCCATCAATGAAATGGCTTCTTAACATCTGCATTTATCTGGTTTCCTTAAGATAAGTGACATACATGACATTTGAGAGACGATATGAGAAGGAAGAAAATTCATTGTTACTAGCATCTTTCAATAGCTGTGTTGCATCATGTAAAAACTACTCCCTGAGGCACCACGATTCCTCTTTTTACCCCTAACTATATAAAGTCATAGCATATCCACATTCTTTCAATCCTTGCCTGAGCATTCTATACCATGCCTAGACAGGCTTAGCTAAAGTGGAAAATGTATGTGCTGGAAACAATATGATGAAAAAGAAAGGTTTAGCATTCTTAGATGGATTTATTCAGAATCTATAAGAAATATGAAGAAAAAAATATATATATATTTTATTCAAATTTGTAATTTTAAGTTAAATATAGTCAGTACAGTGTATATATTGAAATAATATTTGTACTCAAGCAGTATCAGGAAACACTGTATACAGTATAAATAAAACACTTTACACCTAAACTTTAAATAAAAAATCCTACTGCATTATATATGTTTTCTGTTTCACAAAGAATATGTATACAAGTTATTTCCAACATGTTTACACATGTGTCTTGAATAGATACCTTGTGTAATAAATAAAGATGATTGTGCTTTAAGAATTGCTCAGTTTTGTTTATTGGCCTTAGATGTAGTCTTGGCTGTATTGAATTGCTGGTGGTATGGTGGTGTGTGTGTTGGTGTTCAGTGATTATGTGCGCATGCAATGCCCCATAAATAAAGTGTGATTGTGATGTAAATTCCCATCATGCTCCCCACCCCCCTCCCTTGCCTTCCCTAAATATAGTCGAATCTTACTTGTTTTCAAGTCTGCAGCCGCTGCCTCTGACAATGATCTGTTTACTTGGCTGACATCATCAGAAGCTATTTTCGGAACAATCACAATGCTTTCAAATAGGATTGGCTGAGACTGTCAAGGAGGCAGATCAGGGGCAGAGCCAGCACAAGCCAAACACAGTCCTGGCCAATCAGCATCTGAATCAATGCATCTCTATGAGGAAGGTTCAGTGTTTCCATACAGAGGGTGGAGACACTGAATGTCAGTGCTGCACACTGTGTAGCACTGCCCCAGGAAGCACCTTTAGCAGCCATCTGAGGAATGGCCAGGTATCACTAGGCTGTAATGTAAACACTGCACTTTCTCTGAAAAGACAGAATTTACTGCACAAAGCCTGAAGGGAATTATTCTATTCACCAGCACATATACAATAAGCTGTAGTTGTTCTGGTGACTATAGTGTCCCTTTAAACTCTGTTGCTCTCCCTTCTTCAAAGGCTGAACATTTAACATCTTAGAGGCACCAGTGTCACTAGAGGAGGTAACTTAAATTGTGCAATCGCTCACATCCCATAAATGCCTTAGTCCCAATGGATTTTGCAACAGAGCAAAAAAGTGGACTGTTGCTTTCTCTACATGCAGAGAAAGCCTTTAATAACCTTAATTGGGAGTTTCTTGAAGTGGTCCCACTAACTTTCTTTCAAGAACTAAAATATTCTACAACACTCAGACAGCCCGGATTCTTAATGATGGGTTAATATCAGACTCTTTTGGTATTCTAAGTGGAACGAGACAGGGGTGCCCACTGTCAGGGCCGGCCTTAGGCAATTAGGCGCCCTGTGCAAAAAGTCTTCACGGCGCCCCCCCCCACCTCCCACCAAGTTGCCTGAATACAGTAACACACACAGGCACCGGGGACGTGTGTATCACGAGGCAAACAAGGCATCTGCCTTGGGCGCCACTTTGCAGGGGGCAGCAAAAAAAAGCATCCCTCCAAACCCCCAGGCAGATCCCTTGCTTGCCTCGCATCCTGGGGGGCTCAAGAGCTGACCGGCTGGCCACTTTTGAGCCCCCCCAAGGCTGGCAGCGGGCAGCGAAGGAGCATACTCACCTGAGCTCTTCCTACTCAGCTTCCTCTGCGCCGCTTAATGAAGCCGGGAGCCAGAATATGACGTCAGTCCGGCTCCCGGCATCACTAAGCGCTGCTTACTCAGCCTGTGCGCCCCCTGCCTGCCTGCCCAGCAGCCACACTGGACTGCTGGTAAGAAATCCACTCCAGCTTCCCCAGGGAGGCTGGGTGGATTTAAAATAAATGTAAAAAATATTAGTTTGTGAGTGTTAGTGGAAATGTCTGTGTGTGTGTCTGTGAGTGTTTATTTTGAAGTGAATGTGTGTGTGTGTGTGTGTGTGTGTCTGTAAGTGTGTAATTGTGTGTGTCTGTAAGTGTGTAATTGTGTGTGTCTGTAAGTGAATGTGTGTGTTGGTCAGTGAGTGTATATGTGTCAGTCAGTGAGTGTGTATGTGTCAGTCAGTGAGTGTGTATGTGTCGTCAGTGAGTGTGTATGTGTCGTCAGTGAGTGTGTATGTGTCAGTCAGTGAGTGTGTATGTGTCGTCAGTGAGTGTGTATGTGTCGTCAGTGAGTGTGCGCCTGTCAGTGAGTGAGCGTCTGTCAGTCAAAGTGCGGCCTTGACAGGAAGGGGTGGGGGAAATTTAAACTCGGTTACAGGCATGTACACACACACTCAGTTAAAGGCAGTCACACATACAGGCACAGGCACAAACAATGGCACAGCTACAGTGACACACACAGACAGTCACATAGGCAGTCACACACACAGACAGACACACAGTAACACACACATAGACAGTTATACACACACAGGCAGGCAGTCACACAGATAGAAAGTCACACACACAGGCAGGCAGTCACACACAGACAGTTACAGACAGACACACACAGGCAGGCAGGCAGTCACATACAGGCAGTCACACACACACAGGCAGTCACACACACGGGCAGTCACACACACGGGCAGTCACACAGACAGACAGTCACACAGACAGACAGTCACACAGACAGACAGTCACACACACAGGCAGTCACACACATGGGCAGTCACACACATGGGCAGTCACACAGACAGACAGTCACACACACAGACAGTCACACACAGGCAGGCAGTCACACACAGAGACAGTCACACACACACACACAGAGACAGACAGTCACACGCACACAGGCAGGCAGTCACACAGACAGACAGTCACACACACACACAGACAGTCACACAAACAGGCAAACAGTCACACACACACACTTACCTCTTTCCAGTGGATGCAGTTGGCTGATGGGGAAGCATCTTTCCCTCTTCCTGTACAGCAGGGGCTTCGGGAGGTATTAGCCCCGTCTCCGCCTCTCGATAAGCCCCGCCTCCGCCGCTCGGTAAACCCCGCCCCCTCTGCCGCGATTTTTTTTTTTTTTTTTTAAATAGACCCGGGTGGAGAACAATTAATCCTCCAGCCAGGTACCTCTTTTAGCTCCCCTGCACTCCGGCCATGAGTGAGCTGTGTCGGCCACAGGGCGCCCCCTGTTCCATGGCGCCCTGTGCGGTCGCACAGCTCGCACACCCCTAAGGCCGGCCCTGCCCACTGTCCCTACTTTTATTTGCATTGGCACTTGAACCACTGGAATCCTCCATAAGGGCAAACAACTCAATTCACGAGGTAGAAGTAGTTGAGAGTGAATACAAACTGAACCCTTTTTGCAGACGATGTACTTCTTACTCTCACGCAGCAAATTATCTTGACTATAGCTCACACTTTTACTATAAGCTAAACATTTTTAAGACCCACGCAGTAAGCTTTGGTGAATCATTTCTAGTTTGAAAGAGCTGTTCCAATTCATTTGGAGGTCTGATTACTTTATTTATCGGGACATTAAGATCACTAAGAAATCTTACAGCCCTATTTTGCCACAACAATATTAAAGTATTTAAGGAATTTGCAGACACCCTCCAGAAAATTTCATTCTTGGATAGGGCAAATAGCAGCCATCAAAATGTCTTTATTGTCTAAACTCCAACACATTGCAGAATCCAATACCGAAAGAATATATACACAATTTACAATACATCTTTGTTAGATTTGTATGTAACAATAAAAAAGCAAGAATAGCCCCTCATATTATACAGAGACTGGTGGAGAGAGGGGGATTGGACTTTCCACCAGCAGTGGGTGTATATAGAATCACATTGGAAGCTACCTTGGGAGCTGGTTTATTTGATTTGAGTGCCAAAACAGATAAAGCTGTTTTACCTACATATATTGCCACCCACTAAGTTGCTGCTTGACTTTCGGTATCTGGGTGGGCCTTCCTTATGCGGCTTCTCCCCTATCTTTGGCATCACTGATAGATTCCCTTCCCTTAGGGATATCAAACTTTAATTGCAAATGCTTGGCTGGTTTGCGGCTCTAGGTCACTTTGTAGGATTTGATATGTACGTGATCCATGGCATCCGCAAAGGGAAACACTTGCTTCTCCATGTAGTATAGCCTATCTACCATATCTCTGTCTTTTTCCAGAGAAGTATTATCAAGGCGTTTGCTGTATTGAGTAGGTGTCTAATAATGCTTTTTTGTACTTTGCTATGGGAAGAGGTATTTGATGTAACAACATGAATTCAGGGGTCAACTTGGATATTTCGCTGGACACATTTACAGTAAGGGGTTTTATCTTAGGACAAGACCATAAAATATGCAAAAAAAGAGCCCTCATAAACCTGACATCACCAGCATGTAACAGGGGTCGATGGGGCAAACGTATTCAATTCCACTGTGGTCCTATACCATCTTGTTAACAATTTGTCATTAATTTTCTGGATCTTTGAGTCTATAGAGGTTGTGTACCAACAGGAAAATGCTTTCCCTCACAGGCGACTGTAAACCACAGGGGTGGAGTCTGCACATCATTCAAGAGAAGTCTGTACAAGAAGGAAATGCTTAGATGTTAGATGTTTCCCTGCGAGGTATAATTGTACAAAACCTGTAAGTGGTTAAAGTCTGATAGTGTTGCAACTGGAAAAATAAAAAATGATAAAGAGTCGGTACTCTTCCCTGCAGAAGGGAGTTAACTGGAAATAATTTCTCTTCAGAAAAGACATCTCTCAGCTGAGGGATGTTTCCTGCCTCGCCCTGCATCTGCAGCTCAGGAGACAACCACTCCAGTGTGTTCAGGTTATGAGCCAGCAGTGAAATTCAGGATTGCATTACGAAAAGTAAGAGTTCATCAGCATACGCCGCTTCCTTATGTGTGTGTCTCCGCCCTTCAAATCCCCTGATGTCAAATGGCTTCCAGAAATGTCTAGAAAAAGAAGACAAAAGTAGTGGGGACAGGGAACAACCCTGTCTCATGCCATTACGTATGGATACTGGGCTCAAGAGGGCTCCATTAATTTGAGCTGTTAAGGTGGTATATAGGGATCCAAACAGAACCCTCATGGGTGGCCAAAACCCATTTTTTCAAACGTGACCATCAGAAATTCCCAGTCGCCTCAGTCAAACGCCTTCTCAGGGGACTGAGGGAGTCTCTACTGTAACTCTTCCAAACATTTTGTAATAGCGAAGGGGCAAGCCATCTGGACCTGGGGCTTAATTAGATTGGGTAGACTTGATGGTGTATCTTTTATGTTTTAGCTTCCTCTTGTAAAGCCATTTGCGTACCCTACAAGTTGTATACAGATGAGTGATTGGAGTGAAACTCCGTTGATATATCATCTGGATGGCACACATCCCCGGATGAGTGTTTGGAAATTCTACTAAAGTCTACTAATAAAATATTCAAGCTGGTAGGTGGAAACATTTGTTTGAATGCTCGTAGAAAAAACAAATTTGATTTGATTTACGAAGAGTCAGCAAATGTTTCTATGTCAATAGTGTGTTTAGTTTATGTCTTTCATCCAATAGCTCTTTATAGACACTGTCTGACTGGGAGTTCTTATGGGAAGTGTCTATTGCTTCTATTTGTGCAAGCAACTCTGATAATTGTCTGTTTCTTTGCGTGTGTACACATTTTAATAAAATATCTCAGCTGGAACCTGGCAAATTTTTCAAATATCTTGCTTGAGATAGAGAATAAGGATATACCTTTATAGTTACCAAAGACCTGCAGATGTACAATGGAGGCATCTTTGAACCAGGAGAGGAACCGTCTACTGTTGCCACATGAGTAGAAACATCTGATTGAGCCTTTCAGTCAGAGCAGTGCCACCTTCTTTGTAGACCTCACCTGGGATTAAATCAAAGTCAGAAGCTTTGCCACTGGAGAAGAGATGGATTAAAACACTATACTATTTGTACTAATGCATTGCCTACGTATGATGTACAGTTGTTTGTATTTGTAGAAGGCACTCGAGTTATGTGTAACTATGCAAACTGTACATTGTTGAATGAACAAGAACAAATACATTTAATAAAAGTTGTCAAATAAAAAAAAGGCAAAACACTGCACTGAGCACTGCTGCCTTGACGATGTTGCAGAAGATGTCACATTGGTGACTGGTGCAGAGGGAGTAGGTAGCCAGATGGGCAAAATCTTGCAGTGCTTGCAGTGCTGTCTGCATTCCACCGCCAAACTATTTCTGTACTGGGCAATTGCACAGGCTGCACACACACCTATGCTCAGCTCTTCCAATACCTCTCTAAAATAAAAAGAAAATCTATGTCTGTCTGTCTGCCTGTCTGTCTCTCTGCCTGCCTGTCTGTTTGTCTATCTATCTATCTAGTGTAGTTGTTAACATGCATCCTAAACTGCTCTCTTTCTTCTGATGTTGTGCCAGCTCCCCTTAAACATGCTACTGTTGTACCTGTCTGTCACAGTAGTGTACCCCAACACGCAAGATTTAGTCCAACAAGAGACAATATAAAAAAAGATACGTCTTACTGGGCCTTAGAATGGCCAGACTCAACATAGTACAGAGAATTGACAGAGACAGGAACGAGCCGAGGTCAAGGGAACAGAGAGACAGAGAAAACAAGAACTTAGCCAAGGACTGGTACACAGGAGTCAGGAAACCGGCAAACAAGACAAAGCAGGGATAAAGAGAAAAACGGAGTCAGGTACAAAGCCAAGGTCAAGCACGAAAAAAAACACTACTGGACGAAACAAGCACTAAAGGGAACTGAGGCAGAAACCACGATAGGGCAGGGAGCTAAGGGAAAGGTGAGTATAAATACCATTGAGTTTCATTTGATTTGCCCCTGTCATATTCACGCCCCCAAAACGTGAGTGTATGGGGAATGTGAAATGACATGGGCCAATGGGAGACCGTTTTACATTTTGGCTCCCACTGTCCCTTTAAAAGCGCGCTTGAGACGCGCGGCGTGCTCCCAGAGCCAGACGAGTCACGTGGCCGCGTCTCGCGTTCGGTGCACACCTTCCGGATCTCCCCGCTGGACGAGCCACATGCGGCTCGTGCAGATGCAGGACCGCGCGCGGCGGGGACAGAGGATTTCGGCCAGCCCCCGGAGAGGGTAAGTACCAATACACTGTCCTCAAAAAGTCATCTTTTGAACTTTCCCTTCCAACTATCATCCCATATCCCTGCTCCCTTTTTCCTCAAAGCTTTTGGAAAGACTTGTCTTTACCCATCTGTCTTGCTTCCTCAACTCCAATCTCTCTAAAACTGAGTTTCTTATTTTTCCTCCTCACAACACTGATCCTCCTCCTTCACTCTCCCTGCAGGTTGACAGTACCTGCCTTACCCCATCCTTTCAAGCTCGCTGTCTTGGTGCCATTTTTTATTCTGGCCTCACCTTTACGCCTCATGTTCAGTCTGTTGCTAAAACCTGTCAATTCCAGCTTAAAAACATTGCCCGAATACGTCCTTTTCTTATGCAAGATGCTGCCAAGGAGCTTGTTCGTGCTCTAGTAATCTCTCGCATGGATTACTGTAATTCTCTCCTAACTGGTCTCCCCAGAAGCCATACTGCCCCCCTACAATCTGTTATGAATGCTGCTGCCAGGATGATCTTTCTCTCCTGTCGCTCCTCTCACACCTTACCCTACTGTAGATCCTTAACCTGGCTTCCTGTACCCCAGATATGTCAATTTAAAATACTAACCCTTACCTATAAAGCTCTAACCAACTCTAGCCCCTCTTATATTTCTTCACTGATCATAGGTATGGCCCTTCTCGGTCTCTCCGCACTACTGGTGACCTTCTCCTTTCTGCTTCTCGCACCCTTACTGCAAATTCATGCTTGCAAGAATTCTCACAGGCGGCTCCTTTCCTTTGGAACAGCCTGCCTACCCCTGTCAGACTCTCCCCTAGTCTTCAATCCTTTAAGAAGTCCCTCAAAACCCATCTTTTCAGGATTGCTTATGGCCTCCAGGAGTAACTTCTAATTCTCAAACCTTCCTGTTGCGCTCTCCTAAAGAGCCATCTCCACTCTCACTTCCAGTTCTGTCACTTTCCCACCATGTCTTATTGCTGTCTCACTCAATACCCTTCCTATTGTGTTTTTATACCCCACCTCCTCTAGACTGTAAGCTCGTTTGAGCAGGGTCCTTAACTACCTATTGTTCCTGTTACATTTTGTTATTGTCTCATTTGGTAAATCCCCATCTTATTGTAAAGCGCTGAGGAATAACCTGGCGCCATATAAATACTAATAATAATAATAATAATAATCATCATCATCAATCTATCTGTCTGTCTGCCTGTCTGTCTGTTTATTTATAATTATTATTATTATTATTAGCATATATACAGCACTAACATTTTGTGCACTGCTTTACAATTATAGAAAGAAGAATTTGGATGTGATGAAGTACCTATTCAAATGAGCTAACAATCCATGAAGTTTGTCTATGGTGACAAGTTGATGAGATAAACTGAACTTTAACAGTCAGTCTCACAGTTTGCTAAATTTCTGGCAAAACAATTACATATGTATCTTCTAATTCCACGCACATACACTGTCAAATACAGATTTTCAGAATAAATGTTTCCAGTTTGCACACAATAGACAACTTCGATGATTGAAATCACATCTTCTATACATAAAGCAAAACAGAAATTCAGGGGTGCTAATATGAGCCCTTGTTCCCTATGTTAAAATCATAAAATATGCATGCATACATATTTCATTTCACACGTTTGTAGTGTGTATATGAAGGCTATGGATATGAAGACACTCTCTTTTCCTTGTTGATTATGATCATAATAATATTATTTTTAGATTTTCAAGGCCTGAGTGCTGCCACAGTGAAACAATCTTTCTACAGTAAAAAGCACAAAAGTGGGCACTTTTTTAAGTAATTTAAATCAAAGGTGAAATACTTTTAATCCATGAATAACATCACACTGTTCATCATCAATATTTCGGAACTGAGAATGGTCCTTTCTCAAGATCCTTTCTTAAGTTCTCAAGATTTAAATCTTTGATTCAAGGTCCTGTGAGTGCCAAATTTCTTAATTTCTAATATATATATATATATATATATATACCAAAAATACAAGTAGCTCCTGCACTCACGCTCCAATGTCCCTTAATGGCCGGGTGCCAACCAAAGACAGCTTCAATATCCAAGAAAATCCAAATGTATGGCTGCACTCACGGTTTAAAAGTCCAAAGTTTAATGAAAAAACGGTTTAAAACATCAAGTGATCAACGTTTCAGTCATATAAGACTCTCATCAGGAGTATATATATATATATATATACTCACTACAAATGTGTGAAATTAAATAGTGCTTCACATTTAACAAAATATGACAGAAAATTACTTATTTCTACATATTTTAAGTTAAGAACTGCAACAAGTGCATGGGTGGGATCGTTTTCCTAACCCACACGATTATTTCCTTTTAGTTAAAGACAGGTGCGATTCTAAATACATGCACAGTTCTAAATACAGGCACAAAATGAAAGGGGTAGTGATATGAAAATGAGTTATGGGTGGGTCCCACTATTCATTTATACTGCTATTAACCACAATCTGTTTTCTGAAATTATCTCCTGAATTGTGTTTATTCCACTATATGCTATGTTGTTTCTTTTTATTTTAAAACGAAAACCCTAAAAAGACAAGGAGGAAAACTCTTAGTGTGTAGACGGGGTAAATGATATAAAGAACAACCAGCTCTATATAACAATCAAAATAGCATAAAGACTTCACAAAGACCCAAGTGCAAGTAGGAAGGTTGACACTTTTTGTGTTTGATGGGTAAATAAAGCATCGGTTAAAAATATAAAACTATAATGGTGGGCAGATGAATATTTATTTTGAATATATTAAGAGTTCTGGAACAGAGACCCTTATTCATGAGTGCCTACACATAAATGAGAAAAATAAATTAGCAATTTAAATTAGCACTAGCACTACAAGGCACCCAGACGTTTCTCTAGTAAAGTTTGAATTGTTGGGATTGGGAATTGAAATCTGAATGTCAACATTTAGGCTACACTATCCAGGCTCAGATTATAGCTGAGTTTTTTTGTTTTTTTTAATCAGCTATTTAGGTGTAAATGTTGCCACGTGCTTAGCAATTTGCTCAAATTCTCTATTAAGTGAATAGAACGCAGGCTAATTCAAAAAATGATGAAAAATTGGTTGTTGAAAAATTTAGCCTAAAATAGCAAAGTATGGATAAATATTCAGAATTGATAAATATTCAGATTTTTTACTAAATTAGGTACTTTCCTGTTTAGTTCCTGATTGTTAATGTTTTAATAAACCCAATAGACTTTTTTGATAAACTACTTGAACTAGCAGAAAGTCCATAAAAAGTGTGTTGTGGTAATCTGAAAGGCAAATACCTAATTTGAAACTAAAATAGCCAGGCTGTGGTTATCACAAAATTCTTCAGAATCAGCTATTTTTGCCTTCATTCTGCAATTTAATTTTGAGTTTGCTATAACTAAATTAATTCTTCAGTGAATAAATCCAAGGTGTGAAGTAATAATTCTGCACGTTCTGAAACTAATATTTTCATTAAGCAGCTGAAATTAATTTATCTTCCAAGCTGTATGAATAATGGGTGAATGTTTGCAAAAGTACAGCAACGTGTTAAAATTAAGATTGATGCAGTAGAATAAAATGGCCAAATTAAACATAATTTAAACTTTTCTCTTTAGTTAATTCACTTGGCAAATGGGCTGTCAATTCAACACAATTCATCGTTTAGTGCATAAATCAGTGTTTGAAGGTGGGGCTTACAGAATATTGATACTCAATGGTGTTAGTTGATAAAATTATCCTGCTTAATGAATAAGGCAGGTGTGATTGATCAGCCTGATGATTTGGTCCATCATTAAGAAAGTATGTTGGAAAAGGAGATGATCCAGGAAGCCTTTCACAATTGATGTTAATAATATGAAACTGTGATTTATACACAGGATTACACAGGATTTACATTTGCAAGTATTTGGCATGAAGGATTCTCAGCTGTGACGTGTGTTTAAAAGGTTACCTTAAGCACCCTGAAAATGATGCTGATAGTATGGGTTATGGTGCGCATAGTTCTCTAGTCACTGTGTCTCTGGCCAGTGGCGAAACTAATGTAAAGAGGGCCTTGGTACAAAAATAATTTCTTTTTGGGTCCCTCTAGTGCAAGCATGGCCGAAAGGTAGATCCCTATCTGTCGTACAACTCCCCCAATGCTTTTTGAGCTGTGGATCTACCATGTGTACGGTTGCTATTTGAAAGCAGTGGTATACTTGTGTTTAGTGTTTGCGTTTCAATGTGTGTATATGTCACAGATGCACACGTACACACACAGATGCACACATATGTACACACTGACACACATACACACGCAGATAAAACATATACACACACTGATACATATACACGCAGATAAAACATATACACACACTGATACATACACACATAGACACACACACAGATAACAGATGTACACATATATACACAAACAGATAACACACCATGTTCACACATGGATAACACATATACACAATGATCACATTTATATATTTTTGCCACCCCCTGTTTCCATACCTTTTTGGTGCTGGAGGGTGGCATCCTTCGGGTCCAGTGGAATCTGGATGAGTCTGATGGTAGTCTGGTTCAGGCTTTGGTTCTCCCCTCTCTCCCTCTCCATCGCGCTTTGTTGGTAAGCTTGGCATTCCTTGGCATTCCCCAGCACTGTGGCTTCACACTGAGGAGGGGACCCAGTCACGCTGTCAAAGGCCAAAGTGCATGACCTGGCCTCTGATCAATGATGGCCATGTGATGGGCCCCTTGAGCATGCATGCACTCTCTCTCGCTGCCTGTCTCTCTACACCTTTCACCCCCTTTTATGCACCTCCTTCCCTCTCTACCCCCTTTGTGTCTTTCCATACCCCAAGCAAACCCTTTTGATTTCTGTTCTAACCCCCTCACCCTCATTTGTGTCGCTCTATACCCCTACAATCTGTGCCTCTTCATATTTCCTTGTTGGCCATTAGATGACTCAATTACCTCTTATGTGTCTCTCCTTTTTACATAACCTTAGTTTGTTCCCTTTCTTTCCCAATTACAATATGCTGTGTCTCCCCTTACATTTCACCATCTTGTGTGTTTTCCTTAGTGTCCCCCCACTTACTTGGTCCCAGATAATTAAAGGACCACTATAGTCACCCAGACCACTTCAGCTCAATGAAGTGGTCTGGTTGCCAGATCCCTCTAGGGCTAACCCTGTCTGCTGGGGGTTTTAACCCCTTCAGCACCACGGAAGGGGGACCCTTAGGGTGGGGGCACCCTCAGGGTACTATAGTGTAACACTATAGTGTTATGAACCCACACATGGTGAACTTGCCTAATAAAGAATTACTTGTGACTGTTCTTCTCTGCTTTGTGTATGATGTCTTACTAATATATTGTTATGCAAAAATATCAATAAACATCTAAAAAATAAATGTAAAAAATGGGGGGGGGAGGGCGGGGGTTGGATGAAGACATAATGGTACTATAACCCGGACAGCGACTGTTATGTTTAAAGTGCTTGGAGTGTTTATTTAACTAACTGTATTCAACATTTAATGCATTTTCTGTGTTCTTGGAAGACTGGTGGAGCATTTAACCCCTTAAGGACCAAACTTCAGGAATGAAAGGGAATCATGAAATGTCACACAGCATGTGTCCTTAAGGGGTTAAATGGCATAAAACAATGTTTACTAGATTTTTTAATATAAATATATTGTCCCTTTAATGAAAACATATGATGGATGTATTGTGATTGATTTCTAAAAATAGGAATTTTTTTTTTCTTCCTCAGAGAACAATGAAGTTTGTGGCATTGGTCTCGAGCTTTGTACTGCTCCATGTCTCCTGGACATCTGGAAAGACAGAACATAGACCTCAGAAAGGTATCAAACTCCAATCAAAAGGGACAGTCTGCATGTGACGTTACACACAGTGGTTGGGTGGGAGTTTCTGATAATAGGAACTAGAAAATCTTTGTATTAAAAACAAATGGCATAATGAGAACATTCTTCTCAGATTAAACATCTACTGTTTAGTATTAGGGCTTCTAAATATCCCATTCTGAAAAACAACATAATTGTTTTTGAAAATCTTAAAAGGTTACTCCAAGCATTATAAGCACTGCAGCCCGCTGTAGTGGCTATAATGTGAGGTGTTTCCTGGCCTCAGTTCTTTGGGGCAAACCATTTAGCGAGGCTTCCTGGTGGTTTGGTGATATGCTTCTGCTTATGCAGTGCTGCAGATTCCGATGCCATTGCTATTCATTAGCTGAGAGTAGACATGCGCAATTCGTTTCGGTCCGAATTTAAATTCAGCCGAATTTTGGCAATTCGCATGCTTCAAAATGTCCGAATTGCCGAGGTGCCCAATTTCAGAAGTGCCGGATTTCCGAAGAACCGAACCGAATTGCCGAAGTCCAGAATTGCCGAAGTCCCGAATTTCGGAAGTTCCGAACCGAACCGAATTGCAGAAGTGCCATTCGAAGTGGATTTCTGAAAAGAGGCAAAACAGGAGAGGGAGGTAAAATTAAAGGAATGATGACAGGAATCTAATCTTACTCTTAACCCTAGCCCTAACCCTAACCCTTACTCTAACCCTACCTCTACCTCTACCCCTACCCCTTACCCTACCCCTAGTAGGGTTAGGGGTAGGGTTAGGGTAGGGTAAGGATTAGGGGTATGGTTAAGGATAGAGGTAGGGTTAGGATTAACGATAGAGGTAGGGTTAGGGGTAGGGTTAGGAGTAGGGTAAGGGTTAGTGGTAGGGTTAGGGATAAAGGTAGGGTTAGGGGTATGGGTAGGATTAGGGTTAGGGGTAGGGTTAGGGGTAGAAGTAGGGTTAGGGTAAGGGTTAGGGGTAGGGTTAGTGTAAGCGATAGAGGTAGGGGTAGGGGTAGGGTTAGAGTAAGGGTTAGGGATAGAGGTAGGGTTAGGGGTAGGGTTATGGTAAGGGTTAGGGTTAGGGAATTGCCAAAGTCTCGAATTCCCAGAGTCCCGAATTTCGGAAGTGCTGAGTTGCCGAAGTGCCGAATTTTGGAGGTCCCGTATTGCCGAAGTCCGAATTTAGGAATTCCCGAACCGAACCAAGTTTTTTGCCCATGCACATCCCTAGCTAAGAGCTTTCAGCCAATGAATGACATTTTGAGCAATGTCGGGGCTGGCTGATGACATGCCAGTGATGCTCCTGAAAGTGGACTTACAACTCTGGCAGCAGAGGAGTTAAACTCTGTACATGCAGCGTTTCAAAGCAAAACACTGCACATATAGACTCAAATCACCATAACCACTTCAAATCACTACAGTGGTCATACTGTTTACAGTACCCTTCCTTTCTGAAGACAGCATTTGCCCTTGTGTTTAATGTTTGAGTTCTCTGACAGCATCTTTATCATTCCTAAACACTTGTTTGCCAGTAGATTTTGGGGAGGGATCAATAATTCACACAGAAGTCTGTGTCATTCATCCCTCCTAGTCCTGTGTTAAAACAGACGTACTGACCTCTAATTTCCCAATGGAGCTAGTGACATTGGCTTGGTTAGTGGAGATATTCTCCATGACCCTGCCAACCTCTGGCAAGTAGGCATATGCAAGGAGTGTAAACTAAACAAAAGAGGAGATAAGGTTGCGCCAGAACAGTATAAACAAAAGTATAGTTACAGATATATGGAAATGTCCAATATAAAAATAATAATAAAAAGTCCAATAAAAATCCCAATAAAACCTGCCAGAAGATATAGCCTTAAATATGACTGGAATAAATCTTCTAAAACAGTGTCAGATCAGGCTATTCATCCATATGTAAAAACAAAAGGAAAGACTGATTATGCAATATATCCCAGAAATAGATCATTCCAGTATAAAAGGTCTAATATAGTGCTACTCACGTTTTGTAGAGCTTATAACCAGCTCGCATATGAATAGCATGCAGTGATACAATCCCCACTTAGGGATATGTGATGATATGTTGTTAGGTAGATGTTTCATCAATATGTAGACCATAAAAGAAATTTAAAAGAGACAACAAAAATGTGTGAAAAAAATTCCAGGAGAATGAAATAATAAATAGTTACTCACATTTAGTAGAGCAGACAAACTGTTCGCTGTATAGGGCGTAAGTGGTATAATCCCCATTCTTTAGGAGCAGTCCTCACTGGAACATAAAATAGATGCCCAGTAGAAAATAGAAAACAAATAAAAAAGCAAAATGGCACACTCACAAATGGAAGAAGCCAAAATACCTTTATTAAAACAATATAAAATATCCACAGCAGTATAAAATATCGACATAGCAGTATAAAATATATTTGTTCTTTTATTTTCTACCTGGCATCCATTTTATGTTCCATTGAGGACTACTCCTAAAGAATCCAAGGTGGGGATTATACCACTGACTCCCTATACAGTGAGCAGTTTGTCTGCTCTACTAAATGTGAGTAACCATTTTTCATTTAATTCATCTGGCATTCATTTTACACAGTGAGCACTATTGTTGTCTCTTTTAAATTTATTTTATGGTCTACATATTGATTCAACATCTGCCTAACATATCATCACATATCCCTAAGTGGGGATTGTACCACTGCAAACTATTCATACAAGAGCTGGTTATAAGCTAGAGTAGGACTATATTAGACCTTTTATACTGAAATTATCTATTTCTGGGATCAGTCTTTCCTTTTATTTTTACATATGAATGAATACTCTGATCGGACACTGTTTTAGAAGAATTATTCTGGACATATATCTTCTGGCAAGTTTTATTGGGACTCTTATTGGGCTTTTTATTATTTTTATATTGGACTTTTTCATATATTTGTAACTATACTTTGTTTATACTGTTTTGGCGCAACGTTACCTCCTCTTTTGTTTAATTTTTACTTACTTGTGGGGCTTAGAGGGAGTCCTATCATTTAGGAGTGTTGCCTCGTTTGCATATATTCTAGATTTTGTGTTTGGTTTTAGAGCGCTGATTCTTTTCCATTTAGTATATGCAAGGGGTGTGCCAGGTATGCCCAAGCACATCATAGGTCAAATTGGCCTCCCTCTACCCCTGTTTAGGTCTCAAGGCACTTTTGCATAAGTTTGAAATAGAATGTCAAATTTTAAAATAAAAAAAATAATGGCAATCTGTATACACCTAGTTTGTAGCGAATATGTGTACTTTGTGCCTACTTTTTAAAATTAATAGTTTTGATGTGACGTTTTCTCTGGATGCACATCCTAATATAATGTGTCTATGAGCATGTTCATGAGTATGATAAACTGAATACAACTCCCAAGGTGACAGTACATTGTACATTGTGACATTGCAACTATTGTTCCTGAATACCGGAGCATGACTCAACTCCAAGCAGAAGTGAATAACTGAGCATGTGACAAAGTGAAAGCAGAAACATTTTGGGAATATAAAGCAGAACTAGGCTGTAATATACCCTTTTCATATATAGAACTATTTAAATTGCAATAATAATAATAATAATAATAATAATAATAAAATGGAATTCCTTCCATGAATGGTTTGAGACCCAGAGTGTGTGGCACATGCTGTCGGTTTTTATTGTACAACCCCAGTTTCTCAGAAACCAAAATAAATACAAACTAAAAGGGGAAATCCATGCAGTTCAGTAAACCACAGAGAGTAGGCACAGAATAGTGGTAGACGAAGGGCAGACGAGTGGGTGGAGATAATTGTGAGAACAAAGTTAATAAGCTTGCAACAAACTAAAAACAAAACAAGATTAGGATGACGTGTGGTGGCGCAGGGCAAACTTACATATCTATAGACTCTTACAGTGACATGTGACAGTGATGGAGAATTAACATAAGATTTGCAAATTTGGGGCAACATTGTCTAGAGTAGACAGTAAAACTGTTGAATTGGGCAGTTTTACCAATTTGTCTATTTTGTCTGAAACTTTGCAGTTTCACTGACAGTTCCCAGTTTAAAAAATAACCATGCATTTCTAGTTATATTATAATTAAACATTTACAAAGCATGCCTTGGGAAAAGAGAGATAACGAGCATTCGTCACTCTTCCCATCACAGTCTGTCAAATGCAATCAAGTCATGTTTTACTTATTACTACATACACAGAATGCATGCTACAAAATTCCAGAGATCCAATTAACTTACAATGAATTGTATGTCATTTGGCCATGTTTGAAATATGCTAATATTTATGTCTAAGTATAGGTTGGGTGATATACTTGACTTTAGCTACATTTATACAATGGGGCGTATTCACTAAAAACTGAATTGTGGTGAATTGAATACCGAATTGTAAAATTGATGCTAAAATCTTTTTTTTTTTTTTATTATCCATTTTAGCAATAATCCCAACTGGGCTATTTAAAAAAAAAACTGAAGAAAAAAATGTGATCTGCTCAGATACATTCAATTCTATGCATGATAACATGTGTATTTGGTTCTGTTCTGGCATGAAATATCTTAGCCCAGCGCAAATTATAAGACACTGCCCATGACTCAATATATGCTTCTTTTGGTACAAACAGTATTTGTAAGCAGGCATGTAAATTCACAAAAACCCCAATCTTTCCTCCTGGCCAGGGCCGTCTTTAATATTGATTGGACCCTGGGCAAGCATCTGCTTGGGCCCCCTGGGCATGCAATCACTCCCTCCACCCCAACCTAGAGGCGAAACTAATGTAGAGAGTGCCTTGGTGCAAAAAAATAATAATTCAGGCCTGACCTGTAGCACAAGAGTAAAGAAAAGATAGATCCCCATCTGTCATACAACTCCTGCGATGCTATGCCAGGTGGGGATCTACCATCCTTGCAGGGTTGTATTTTTGAGCAGTGTTTGTGCAATTGAATGTCAGCATGTTATTGTATAGAGTGTATGTGTGCATGTAGGGGTGTATTTGTATGTACTGTTACCATTGGAATGCAGTGGTGTACTTGTGTGTAGTGTTTGCGTTTGAATGCAGTAATGTGTGATTGTCTGTAGTGTTGGCTTTTAAATGCAGGTGTACTTTTGTGTGTAGAGTTGGTGTTTGTATATAATTTTAGCGTTTTAATACAGGAATGTGTTTGTTTGTAATGTTTGTATTTGCATGCAGGGGGTTGTTTGGATGTAGTGTTGTGTACATTTGTGTGTAGTATTGGTGTTTCAGCAAACTGGTGTGTTTGTATGTAATGTTTGTGTTTGCAGGGCTCTGTTTGCATGTTGTGTGATTTCTATAACACATATTCACATACACATTAACACGCAGATACACACATAGGCACACTGACACATGCTCACACCTTGACACATACTGGCACATACACACACACACTCAGATACACACCCTTTGACACACAGATACAAGCACTTTGATACACACACACACTGGCACATCCACACACAGAGGTACACACACACACTGACACAGGTATGTACACACACACTCAGATACACACATACATAAAGGTATAAATGCAGGGGTGTATATGTGTACAGTGCTAGAGATGGAGTGTATTTGTGTTGGCATTAAAATGCTGGGATGTATGCATTACCACACACTCAGATGCACACTTACACACACTGACACATACATACATACACACACACACAAACACACACACAGGTACACATACACACTGACACACAAGTACACATACACAGGTATACATACACACAGAAACACTGACACACAGACAAACACAGCCAGATACAAACACTGACACAAACACAGCCAGATACACACATTGACACAAACACAGCCAGATACACACAAGGACATAAACACAGCCAGATACACACACACACATATGTGTACATTTACATATTTTAATCTCTGCCTTCTAGCAGCTCTTGGACAGCAACTCCCAGCAACCTTGGTCATAATAATGTCTCAACTCTGTTCTTACATACCCGGGTCCAGAATTTGGCAAAAGTGACATTTGGAAATGGTATACAGCCTTTGATAACACTTGATGCAATAATATGTTAAAATAAATACTTTTAAAATTTATATTTAATAGGGAACTGTCAGGTTCTTCTAGGATTTTTAACATGTACTTATTCCCTGTGTGTTACATTACAAACACCAACACTTGAATAAAAGTGATATCAGAAATTATCAAAACAAAAAACAAAACATATTTAGCCACCCTCCTGTCTCCTTACCTTTTGGGTACAGAAAGGTGGCTTCCCTGGGGTCCAGTGGGAGCTTGTTGGCCCAGGCTGATGGGAGTCTGCCATCAGCTTTCTCAGTCTCTCTCCCCAACAATGCTTGCATCCTCCTCCGTGTGGTGTGTGCCTCCTCCCCAGCGGCACTGAGGAGGAAGTGATTTGACCTCACTTCCTCCCAGCATGCCACGGAGAAGAAAAGGGATCACAGGGCAGTGTGTGAGGGGCTAGCTGTGTGTTTGTATTCAGCCAACCCCCATATTACAAGGGCCCGGTCCAAAGCAGTATTAAAGGGCTGTGGCCCCTGATTACCTCAGGTGCTGCAAGGGGCCCATGGGGCAGCTGCCTTAGGGCCCCCAGGAGTAACTGGGCCCGGGGCAGCTGCCCCTTTTGCCCCTCCTTAAAGACGGCCCTGCTCCTGGCAGTTGGACTCCATGATGAAATGAAATTACTAAAAAGCCTTTAACTAATATTTTTTTAATTTTGCAGACATCTGTGAACCCACGGCATCCTGTGCAGAGTGTATTATGTACAGTCCTATCTGCGCCTGGTGTTCTGATAAGGTCAGTAACTCCCACGTGCCATATACATATATAGATTCTGGTCTTTCCAAGTGCATCTTATGGCATACCCCTGCTCCTTGCAGGGGGCATTCTCTATTGTAGTTAATAATAATATAAACAGGTGAATATGGTCTGGTGCGATGTCCTTCACAACCTTCCAATCAGTATCATAAATAGCAATATTATTGACACTTTTTGACTGTACCGGTTTGATTTTCTATGGTAATGCGTTACAAAATCAAACAGTCCTTTGTATGTTGGTAGACATGTGAATAACATTGAATAGCTGAAATTCTACATCTAAAAACTTTCAACATATTTAATTTCACAAATGTAAATTGTCCATGTCAAACATGTATAATATTCATTAATAGGTTAATACTCCTCACAATTTTTAAAACTATTGTCACCCAATCAGTAGTGGCAGGATAGTTGCCTGCACCACACCATTTAGTTTATCATAGCTTCATCCATCAGAGGTTCCACTGAGTGTCTTTAGGCTGGATTTTAGTTTATCAGTGGAGTTAGCATTAGTGATATAGGACTGAGGGTCTATGTTCAAGTTTGGGGATCCTGGCTGAAGAAACCTGACCTTTAGTCAACTAGACTACAATGGAGAACAACCAGAGGATTCATAAGGCAGTGGCATTGATAGGGAGGGACTGACCTGGGATGGAGCTAATTTTTGCAAATTGTCATTGTTGGCGCAGAGTCCCTGTAACATTGAGAAATGTGTAATAAAACCTCCAATGACGCTATTTGTCAGGGGGTGTAACATATATGAAGTTAATTGCACAGCACAGAATGGGCAAAGATTAACCATAAGGTGACTTTAGTAACCACCTATGGGGCACCACATCCATGGATTTGCATGGCCCCATTCTTCATTCCTATGAGAACAAGGAAGGTTGACCCCCAAACTAGTAATGTGCAGTAGCATACTTTCTGAAGGGATGGACTACCTCAAGCGACAGGTGGCAAGAAGGTGCACAGAGTACCCCCTGCCACCAGGGCAGCAGGCACGTGCAGACTGGCGCATTGCCTGCACTGTGGTTGTCATGTGAGACTGCAGTGCGGCCTGCTAGGGGGCAGCTGGGATCACTCTGTATTGATTTCCCACCTATCTGAAGGGACCTGTACAGATGATGCAACTGGGGTGCAATATCACCCCACCCTGGCAATATTACAGAGCAGAAGGGGGCTCGGAAATCAGTGGAGAGACGGATTCCTGCAGCTGCCCACTGGACCCCAGAGATGAGTGTCCACTCCAGCTCCTCCTTTCAAGGTAAGAAAATGGAAGCTGGGTGGTCCTCACTGTAACTCCCCCTCTCCCCTAATTTTTAAAAAAATGAAATGTAAAATGTTTGTAATCGTGTGTGTATCTGTGTGTGTATGTGAATGTGCGTGTATTTATTGGAGTCTTTGTGTGTATGAGTCTGTGTGTTTTGCGTATTTGTCTATATAAGTGTGAGAATATGAATGTCTATGTATATGAATGTTGGAGTATTACTGTGGGTGGAGGGTTTTAATGCAGTAGGAGTGGGTATAATGCTGTAAGTGCAAGATTAATACAACCTAGTGTTTGGTTAATACAACAGGAGTGGAGTTCATAAATATTGGTTTATATAATATTCTGAATTTATTCACATATTTGGTATCATAATGTTTTTATAGAACATGTTAGAGTTAAAGGTTGAGAATAGGTGTGTAGAATCGTGTAGATTTTTAGGTTGGCTTTAGTCAACATTTGTGGGAGGAGGCTTACTATATTCCCTCTGAATCCACTGTTATTTTTCCACCTAGAAATTCCATTGGTATAGAGGTTCAAATTCCTTAAACACCATGAGTGACTCCTTAATTTGTGTTCATTATAGATAATATGAGCAGTTGGCTCTACTCTCCCTGGTCTTAGCTATTTCATTATTCTTATAGTTCCAGCCATTCTTCTATGAGTCTGTTCTCATTATCTTGTGGGAATCATATTGAATACAGAAGTTCATTGGTTCCATCAGATGTCCTGATGCCCAGTATTGTTTAGTTTAACTAGCACCATAGGTGACCATTAACATGCTCAGTTGTTTCAGAGCCCTTTGTCCTCACAGCTATTAGACCTGGAGCTGACAAAACTGTTTCATGAGATCCTTATTTGACCAAAGCCTATGAAAGGCAAATCTTGCTACACTGATACATGATATCGGATATCTAGTGCAGTTATGTGTCAAATGGCAGGGACTACATTCTGGTGTTTGATAAGCAGATGTCTTGAGGTTTTCACTCCGGATGCTAAGCTGTTGATCACTTCCTTTTTCAGCCCGTGAGAACCTCCAGGAGTGAGAAGGATGATGTTATAAGCGGTACAGACACACATTGTATTAATCTCCTGAATGAGTCACTGATTGATGCTAAAAAAAAAACCACTTGCTAAAGAAGACCTTTACACGCAAGGAATATCAAAGATTCTCAGTTTGACCAAACTTGTTAAAGGAACACTATAGTGTCAGGAATTCAAACGTGTATTCGTGACATTACAGCTCTAAGATCCCCGTTTAGGCCCCTGACCTCCCTGTCAGCAAGGCAAAAGGGGATTTTACTCACCTTTTTCCAGCACTGCGCAGGCCTCCTCAGGCTTGCTCCTCCCCCGCTCTGCTCTCTGAAAAGGCAGTGTTTAAATTAAAAAGTCTGCAGGGACAAGTAGTAGACACTAGAACAACTACATTAAGGTGTAGTTTTTCTGGTGACAATAGTGTATCTTTAAGTAGACTATAAACCATAGGTATGAATGTGGGTCAGGGGTGGGGTGGGCCTGTAGGAGGAATTCCAATGGCGACATGCCTATCACTGGTAGGATTGGGCCCTCGTGACAAAGGATAAATCTGACTAAAAAAATATGTTACGATATGCATTCTCTCCAGGCTAACTAGCAGCTATATTGGTCAGGCCTACTTCAGGGCCCCATGAGCAGAGCACAGTAGAAATACACTTATATGGGAATAATATCCTGAGTTCAGTTTGCAAAATGCAAGGGAGACTAATGATAAGATTCTGTAGACACTTCTCTGATTTTCCCAAAAATGGAATACCAATGAACAAACCCAGGATGGTGGAACGGGTACTAAAATTTCATAATGTGCAGCCTAATTTTGGATCTATGAATAACATTTTACCTACATACCCCTATCCTGCTAAGATTTATGTGTGTGTGAGCTGGATTCTATCCTAAATTTCACAAATGTCTCAATTAAATGTCAATGTCTTAACATGTCTTGATCGAAATTCTTACTCATACTAAAGTAAAAAGGCTACAAAACTCTCAACCCCCCCATCCAAAAAAAAGCAACCATAATATTATATGAAACTTTTGCCGCACTGGAACTCCGGCGCTTTTTCTAACGGTTATTCACCATCCTTCTCCCTCGATGCATAGGTAAACCACCAACCTTAAATTGCCTTTACTGTATTGCCATGCCCCCTAAGGCCCTGGGAAAGTTCCACGAGAAATCATAACAAACTTCCTAAACTTTATTGATAGATATATATAATTCTGGCAGCCACAATAGGGAGATAGGCCTTTTAAGTTATCACATGTTCTTTTTGGACTTCCGCAGATCCACCATTAAATGGTGTCAATCCACAAAACCTCTGACCACTTCTTTGCAGTAGTCGGGTATTCATTTCAAATGTCGTCCACACAATTGATGCTGCTCACCAGATTGGACACCTTTTTTAGATTCAAGGACTATCTTCAAGAATTAACAAAGCTATTTGCTAGATAGAATTTAAAGTGAATTTCAAATTGAAGGTCAATATAAGCAAATTGGAAACATTTTGTAAGTCAGATATGTTTACAATTTGGCTACTTTGGCCTAAAATATGAAATCAATTTTATATTTACTTTAAATTCTCACTTTAGTTTAGTTAAATCTTGTCCCTACACCGCCAGACTTACGTGGAGCTATACCTACCAAAGACGGTCACCAAGTGATCTCTACTACTAGAAATCTATTGTGTTGTATTTTTATTTTCTTTAATTTGCTTATTTTTTATTTTTCATATCCTGATGGCTGATGGCTTGTTTATATCAATGCTCTAAAAAATATTTTTTTTCCATTTGTTCTCTTGAGGATTCTCCCATCCAACTCCACTAACCCCCAACCTCCGTATCAAACATTCTTTTTTCAGGACATAGATATATCTATTGTATACTACAACTCTGTTTATCTGCTGGAATTATTCTTTTCCATTAAATGGGGGAGCTGGATGGCCACTTTTGAATGGGTTCATAAGAAAGAAAACACTGAGTAGTTACATAGTTACATAGCTGAAGTTCAGCCTTTCTCACATATGTTTTTGCTGTTGATCCAAAAGAATGCAAAAGACCCAGTCTGAAGCACTTCCAATTTTCCAACAAACTAGGGAAAAATCCATCTTGACCCCAAAATTGCAGTCAGATATCTCCTTGGATCAAGCAGCTATTACCCTACGAAATCGAAATTATATCCCTGTATGTTATGGTTTTGCAAGTATTTATCCAATTGCTGTCTAAACATCTGTAACCACCTTTTCAGGCAGAGAATTCCACATCCTTATAGTTCTTACTGTAAAAAAAACCTTTTCTTCACCTTAGAATAAATCTCCTTTCTTCCAGCCTAAATGAGTGACTTCGTGTCCCATGTTTAGCTCTGTTTATGAATAGATTTTCAGATAATGGTTTGTACTGGCCCCGAATACATTTGTATGTTATCATACAAATATGTGTATGTTATCATATCCCCTCTGAGGCGCTGTTTTTCCAAAGTAAAGAGATTACAATTTTTTTAACCCTTCTTCATAACTAAAATGCTCCATTTCTTTTATCAATTTTGTAGCTCATCTCTGCACTTTTTCTAGTGCCATGATATCCTTCTTTAGAACAGGTGCCCAAACTTGCACAGCATATTCAAGGTGTGATCTTACCAGCGATTTATAAAGAGGCAAAATGATATTTTCATCCTGAGAATTTATGCCCCTATTTATACATGACAAAACCTTACTGCCCTTAGCAGATTGACATTGCATATTGCTGCCTAATTTGTTGTCTATAACAATTCCCAAGTCCTTCTCGTGTGTTATTATCCCTAATTCACTACCATTTAGGGTATAACAGAGCCTTTTAAAGGTACATGAGGTGGAGACCAGAAAGGAACCTCATTAAACAAGACCACCCACTTTCCCTATTTAAGCCACGCACACCCTTCACTCTTCGCTCATTTGTACTATGCTCCTGGTTGTGTAAAGACCTTCAGTGTCTATCCTGTTGTATTTTGACCCATGCCTGTATCATCGCTTCTGAACCTGTGCAGCCTGTCGTGACCATTGGCTTCCCTGACTACTCTCTTCGTCTGATCCTTTTGTACTGCGAACTTGCTCTATTGCCTTCATCACTCCCCTGCATCTTGGGCTCCGTCCACTAAACTGTGAACCCGACACCAGCGTTACACCATTTTGACAGGGGTAGGTCATATATATAATATCGTAAGCACTCCAATGGTGCAACTGACAATCTTGGGGCAAGGCCTAAGAACTTAGAAAACCATGTCATCCATTTAATAATGGAAACTAATGTTGTGGTCATGAGTGTAATACCCTAAGGTATGCCTTGGCACCCACATCAATGAAAGAAAGGAATGTGGGCGTATGAGTAAATTTTCCAATTGAAGCCAAAGTGGAGTGTCTTGGGTTATATGCAATGTCAGCATTTGCACTATTATCGTGGCTGCATAATATTTTTGGATATCTGGCATCCCCAAACCTCCCACATACATAGGGAGCTGAACAGATGTATGTGCTATCCTGGGTGGGTTTCGCTTCCATAAATGCATGTTTATAGTCTGTGGAGATTTGCTTACAAAGGGCTTGGAAATGTCTATCGTCAGGGTGGGAAATAAGTACAATATCAACCATAACACCCCAAACCAACCGTCCAACACGCCCTGTATTTTATTATAAACTTTGGCCTACTTTCATTTTGTCTATCTTGTTAAATGCTTTCTATAAAAAGTCCATTTGATGGATATTAGGCACATATAGGTATAAAACCAAAACAGTGAGTAAGCGCTAAATAACACAATAAAGCAGCAACCCTATAAGGGATTCCCTCAAAAACCCTTAAACGTAACACAAAACGGAATAGATAAAAGTAAGGGCAGCACTGAATAAAACTATGTGTAAAACAAATAGTCCAGATAAAATAAATGGATAAAAAGAGAAAGTCTTATCTCAAGACGTCTGTTGCGGTCATATATAGTAATGATATTTGTTCCAGAATAATTGTCCTTGTTGATATCCTCCTTATGGATCCACTCGTATGTAAGAGATAAGGAATAAATGGAGAACCAAATAGTGTAGTATATTCAACAGTGGAGATGATAAAAATATAAAAATCTAGAATGCAAACTCACATTTGACAGAGCTGTAACTCTTTCTCTCTTCATTGCGTGGAACAACACAAATATCTCCCAAAACATCTTATTTCTATGAGAATTTTTACAATTTTTATGGATGACAAGACTCACAATTTTATGACCTTATGAACGCCAACCATTTGTAGGTGTAGGTGATTTAACCAAAAATTAACCTATATTTTTTAATAATAAATATATACATATGTTGGCACTGAAACCTGTATTTGGGTGCAGGTATCGAGGTTGCCCACCTATAATCAACCTCAAAATATAAATACAGAATATAGTGAATGATACCGCACTCCGAAAGATAATTGATGCTCAAAAAATTATTTTTTCATTAGTATTATACACAAAGTCAATTTAAAATCAGATACAATCTATAGTGCATCACTTCATACCATCAATAATGAACAGTAAGGGTAAACAATATATTAAATCCTGGCCCAGTTAATACTGCAATCTATGCTTTTGCCAGAAGACCTGAAAAATCCATCATAGGGTTAATACATTGAAGGGTTCCTCCCATAATTGTATCATACTGCCCATGGTTACCAGACAAAATAAAAAAATGAAAAAAATAGAAAAGTCTATTCAATTTAAAACCCCCAAATTATTTTTTTTGTATGTCTCTCTCCATAGGTAAGCCTTCTTAAGATACCCGAGGCTTATAAAAAGAAAAAAAGGGTAAAAAATAGACAAAAATAAAAAATTAAAATTCACAAGATATATTCTGAGTAGTGATGTCCCGAACGGTTCGCCACGGACAGCGAACATATGCGCTGTTCGGTCCGCCCCCTATTTGTCATCATTGAGTATACTTTGACCCTGTACCTCACAGTCAACAGACACATTCCAGCCAATCAGCAGCAGCCCCTATCTCCCAGACCCTCCCACCTCCTGGACAGCTCTCTAAGAATGCAGCTTCACAATGAATGTAAAATGGATGCTGTGAGATATAAAAGTTCATTCGCAGGAGGTTTTCTTAATGTATAAACAATAGTTGCAGGTCACTGAGGTTTGGCTGTATTTGTAGATGCAATCGGGATTCAGATCACCGGGGGGCTGTGCGCTCGGGATCACCATCCCTTCGAAGGTCCTGAACCAATATTTTTCAATACACAAACTGCATTTACTGTAGTCAGCATTTATTATTGCTGCAAAGTGTTATTCACTAATTCGCAAGTCGTTGGGAGTTAATAAAAAAGTCTTACATTTTAGGCAAAAATAGACAACATTAAAAAATACAGTTATTTAATATGTCGCTTACATTTTGAATATTTAACTTTGAATTTGATCTAAATACCTCTGCGAGGAACGTTTATTATGTATTAGGATTCAAAAAAGGGACATATATGAGACACCTTTCTGTTTTCATGGCTAACAAGGGCAGCAGATCAAACTGGAATTCTCATAGTTAGCAAAATAATAAAGCTTAGATACCCATTTATTAATTATTAGGAGGATCAACTGCTCAATTCTCTGTCATCTGGGAGTTAATTTACTTGTGTGTCTGTTATGGAGCCATAGTCATACTACCCCTGGCTGTAACTCACACAGCCTCCATTAAATAGTTTTTTTTTTTCATTTAGATGTTAAAGGGACACTCCATAAACCCACTGTTTAGTAGATATACCCAAATGAAAACTTGCATGAATGATTATGTATTTTTCATTGGGGATGTATCTAAAACCAGATTGCAAAACCTGCAATTATCTTGTCTGCAGCCTTTACAAGTCCTCCCCTTCTAAACCAGCCCAGACATCACATATTCCCCAATACAGCTCAATAAAAAGTCTTTGCAAGGCAAGTGCTCTGGGCAATTGCCTGCCTCTTGAGTTTAGTTCCACTGAGCTAACCAAAGTAACAGGTCATATTGTCTTATTGACACCTGCTGTGGTGTAAACAGATTAATTTATAAAATGGTACATTTCTATTGAAATTTGCACTTTTTGTAAATCGAAAAATAAAATAGGACACTTTATTTACACCTATTCAGTAAGCTAAAGTGTCTTAGGGGTCTTTAACTCACTTTGGAAGTTTTTTTATCTCCTGGTTTGTAAATTGAATTTTAATCACACACAGGAGGCTTCCGCAGGCTCTAGAAGGCTATTAACAGAGCTAAGAAATTAGATTTTGCAAAAAAGTTACCTAGATTCCATTTCAGAAAGTGTTTGGGAAGGCTGTGCAAGTCGCATGCAGGGAGGTGTGACTAGGGCTGCTTAAAAAAAGTGATTTAACTCCTTAATGACAGAGAACTGGCAGAGAACTGAGCACTGAGACTGAAGGGGCATGATTTATAAACCAAAATTGCTTCATTAAGCTACAGTTGTTTTGTTAATTATAGTGTCCCTTTAATTCATTTCTGCATCTTTTCCTATCCTATTAGAGGAGAGGAGGAGCTAATTAATATGTTCTGCTGCCATGGTTAGCCAGCTATACACAGTTTATTTATTATTTATTTAACAAAAATGTATGAAGGTATGTTGGATCAGTGGCGTCACAAACAGAGCTCTTCCTGTCAGTCCCCCCAGGTACAGGAAACTGAAGCTCCTGTACCACGGTCTGATCCGCCCGGCCACGCTACCAGAAAGGTAGGAGACACACTGGGGACAGGAGGAAGGAACATTATCGGACAGGGGAGGGGAGCGGGGGAAGAACACTATGGGACGGGGAGGAAAGAATACTTTGGGACAGGGGAGGGAGGGGAGGAAAGAATACTATGGGACATAGAAACATAGAATGTGACGGCAGATAAGAACCATTCGGCCCATCTAGTCTGCACAGACGGGGGGGGAGGAAAGAACATCATGGGTGGGGGAGGAGGTAGAAAGAACACTATGGGACAGGGGAGGAGAAAAAACACTATGGGACAGGAGAGGGGTGAGGAAAGAACACTATGGGACGAGGGAGGAGAAAGAACACTATGGGACATTCGTTGGGGGGAGAAAGAACACTATGGGACAAAGGGGAGACACTAGGGAGGAGAGAGCGGAAGATTAAGGGGGGGCACTAAGGTACAGGGGACAGAAGGGAAAAGGAACACAGGTGGGGGGACCAGTAAAAGAGAAGGGAGAGGAACACTAAGGGGGGGAGGAATATTAATGGGAATGGGGGGCACTAAAAGACAAGTAAGGGGGGAATAGAGGAACATTAAGGGACAAAGGACGAAGGGGAGAGGAATACTAAAGGACAGGGGAGGGAGGGGAGAGGAACACTAAGGGATATGGTGGGGGTTGGTGTGACACCGTGAGTTACTGCACCAGGTGACACCAACCCTAGTGACGCCACTGTGTTGGATGAACATATAACTTGAAAGCTCTAGGAACTCTGAAGTTGAATGTTTGTGAACTTCTAGTGTTTTCCATCAATAAGTCACACTTATGCACTGTCTCTCGCATCTATGCTGAAATGTAGTTCTGATAAATATGTGGTTAGCATTTTGGCTAAGCACAGGTGAATACGAGCAAACTTGTTGTTAAGTCAGTTATATTCAGGAAGTTGCATCTTTGTTCTGCAAAACATTGTGGTCATTCTCGAGAAAAAGCTCTCAATCAGTTCATGTAATTTTAAATACCTATGGGAAAAGCAGCATTTATGTTTTCAGTACTTAAAGCGGCACTGTCAAGCCGAACTTACCTTTCCCCAATCGCTTCCTCTTCTCTCCCTCTCTCAGGATCTGTTCTCCGTTTCTTCCAATCTGATCTAGAGATTACTTTGTCTTATGTATTTTTCCTACACTTAACCCGCTTTGACCCTCTTCCTGTGGGTCAAATACATTTTCCCGCAATACCCACCCTTTCCTCTGTGATCTCGCTGTGTTTCCTGTCAGTATTCCCAAACATCCTGTCACATAGATAGGACGGCGCAACTACCAAATTTTGCCCTAACAGAATGAGAACATCGCTATACCGCGAGTAGGGGCATGTCTACTAAACAGTGAGCAGCCTGCTTACTGCTGTAAAAAACAAACAAAAAAAAAAACGACCCCCCTCCTATAGAAATAATAAAGGACAATAATAATAAAGGAGGAGGACATTGTAGCGGAGCTCCAATATTCAGCATCAATATCGCTGCTGTAGACTCCTTGTAGCTGAGGAAGCAATACGATATCCAAGACACAATCCCCCCAGTAACTGGACGACACACAGTTCTGGGAGCCAAGTGATTTTTATTCAGCCTCAGCTGGCTTTTATGCAACTTCCCATGCAAGGGGTTTCTTAAATTACATTCCAGGGGTTTGCCCTGTGGGGACAAGGGACAAGTAAATAATTCACAAACTCCTCCTCTGTGCCTGGGAGATAATTGAGTAAGAACAACTCTTTAATTACATTATCTCCCAGGTACAGAAAATATACAATATTGTAAAACAGCATAAAAACATATTTTAATATCTCAGAACTCCACGAAAGTTAGTTCACCAAATAGCAGGTATATGAGCGCCCACTTTGACAAAATATCACTCAGATCCGTTTGGTATATTAGGAATGCCATTCAAGTGAAGTTTAGACCGGTCGACCACGACGTGAAGCCCCAAAATAGTTCCAGAGGATTTTAGGCTTTGACCGGTCTTTTTTCGGGAGTTCTTTCACGAATGCTGACGAAGGCTCCCCCTTGCTGCTAGCATACGAATGTTCCCCCTGTTTGGTAGTTTAGGTCTCCTGAACGCCGTTCTCCTACTGGTTCGGGAAGTTGAATTGGCAGCGGTAATAGTTTACCCGGTGTTCACAGAGTCCAGTAGCTGAAATTAGTTCCAGGCCATCGATGACCATGTACCACCACCCACATTCGACAGACAAAATGGCCATTTGTTTGCACACGTGCATTTGGTAATACGAACAGTGGCCAAGTAGGGGATACCCTTTCTTTGATGAGCAATTTGAGGTTAACAGCCAGGGATGGTCGATTGTTAAATGAACTGAACTCAGAGACCACACAGGTGGGTTCGGTAAACGAACGAGGGGTATGGACAGCCGAACAAAGGGAAGGAAAAAATGGACATTCTGCTACAGACAGTGTCTCCCCTCCCGAGCCCCCACCTGTGCTGTGTGAGTGGGGGCTACTAAACTGAACGAGGAACCTAATGTTCCCCCAGTCCCCTCCCATAAACGGCAGGTGGAGGCTAAATATAAAAAATACCCCCCACAAGTAACTAGGGGTCCCCAAGCCTCAAGCCACCCCCCTCCCCAATAAAATTAAACCCTACTTACCCCCTCACCCTAAAATAGTGAGGGGGGAACAAAAAACGAAATACCTGTAAATAAAAAAAAATTATACTTACCATTAGATGTCTTCTTTTTTCTTAAACCTTCTTTTTTCAGCCCCAAAAAGGACAAATAAAAAGCCATAATTCCCGCCGAACTTTAAAAACAAATGAAACAAAAAAAAGTGCAAAAAAAAAACATGCAGAAAAAAGAAAACCCTGACGCCACAAAAAAAAAAATCCATCTTCACCCAGCTTGTAAAGCTTTCCCATGTCCTGCAATTTGATTTAGAGCTCTCTGATTGGTTTGTTTAGGCCAATCAATAAAAGTGCTCTGATTGGTAACTTGCATGTCTCAAATTTCCCAGACGGCTCTTATTGATTGGCTTAAACCAATCTCAGAGCGCTCTCAGTCAAATTGCAGGGCGTGGGAAGGCATAGGGCATGGGGAGAGGTCCCCCACCCGCTGCTCATAAGAGACAATGGGTCCCCTCTCTTTTTTTACTTAGGGCCCCCACCTGTCCTCCCCTGTTAATTATTTTAGAAGATGCCCCACCATGGCGAACCTGTACTTTTTTTGATTCGGGGAGTGGGGGTCTTTTTTTTTGTTTGTTTAACAGTGAGCAGCCACTGGTCGCTCACTGTTTAGTAGACATGCCCCTACTCACAGCATAGCAAGTAGGGGCATTCAGGAGATTTTAGTCTCCCTTATGCTAATATTGGGGTCATAGAATGACGGGGGGGGGGCATAGAGGGGGGTTAGAAAGTGGCGGAGAGCACTGCTCCCTGCCGCTTCTATCTTCACATATTACAAGGAGCAAGCAGTGAGCCGGTAGCTCCCTCCTTGTAATAAACTGAACGAACAAAGAGGTCTCCTTTCATTCTTTTGAAATTTCTATTCATTTATTTGTCTTTCTAACGAATGAATGAATTGACAAAATTCCCATCTGAATGCCCAAGTGGTTAACTGGGCATGAGCGGGAATTTCACAGTGTTATCTAGTGTGGGCAGATGACCTGTCCCACAGGGCCTTCATCTGCCCACTCTAAAATGGTGGCGCCAAGGACCTAAGTCCGGTCACAAAATAAAGTTTAAAAAAAGGTAATATGGGGGCTCTACGGGGATTTGGGAGTAACTAGGGGGGCTATTATATTTAGTGTAGTTGGGAGGGGGATAAATAAAAAACGGATGTGGCCATGACAGTGCCGCTTTAAATGTATTTCATGAGGATCATATATAGCATGAGAGTTTAGAGTTTGTAAATGTATGATTTGGTTAATAAATAATGACCAGACAATCTTGGCGCTCATTGCAACCCAGCCCCTTAAACTTGTTGACTTGATGAAATAACAAAACATTTTTCTTTTTGATCTGCACAATCTTTGTATAGAAGGTTGCCTACGCCTGCATCTATACTTCTACTTAGTAATCTTCTAGACCAAGATCAAAGATTCCAAATGAATTATTATTATGGACTCATATATTGTAACGAAGAGCAATGTAAACTTCAGATCATTTTTTAGCCATTTTCTATTATTTTACCCTCTATTTCTCTCTGTTTCTTATTTTGTTTTCCAATTTCTCAAAACAGAATTTTACAAAAGGAGGGGAGTCAGAAGGATCTCGATGTGCAACAGCTTTGGAGCTTCAGCAAAGAGGATGTGCCTCAGAGCATCTGATACAACCCAAAGGGGTTGTGAACATTATAAAGGACACTCCTCTGAGTGACAGTGCTGACCAAGAGGTGGTCACACAGCTAGCTCCTCAAAGTGTCCACCTGAAGCTTCGCCCTGGTGAGAATCATAATGATCACAGGGTTTAAACATCTGCATTGTATCTCTTAGAGAGATACTCTAAGCACCAACATAACAGACTTAATGAAGTGTTTTTTTGTGTGTAGATCACTGCTCAATGCTCTGCATTTTAGGAGTTAAATCACTTTGTTTATACAGCTGTAGCCACTTCTCCCCTGGCTTAGACTCACACTGCTCCTTGGAACCTGCTGGTACCATGGAGTCCCAGGTATCATTGGATACCTAAGGAATCCCTCCATCAGCTAGGCAACAATTAGTGGCCAAAGACTGTAAGATGAGCTATGTGCAGCGCTTCATATACCACAGCTAAGCAATCGCACTCAGCCGTGGTAATTCTGAGCCTGTCCACAGCCTTTTATATGGTGTTTGCACTATTCTTTATTAGTTCTTTTCTCCTGCGGTATTTTGAAGAGACTTCTCCCAGGGATTTTAATCATATTTTTGTGTGATACACCATTAGATGGCAATATATTTTTCAACTTTGAATCCATATGCACTTTAAGCGCAGTCTGAAGCACTTTTTGAATACACTTTGATGTGAATTTATTGCATGTCACTGTATAGAAGGTTACATTGTAAACATAATTAACGTTGCATGTATTAGTTAACTGATCCACCTTTTGGATGAAATTACTTTATCTACCGTTTATACTCTATTTAGTGCAATGACTGTTTAAACTTCCTGTCCTATTTCTGAATTTTAGAAGAAAAGAAGAAATTTCGGGTGAAGTTCAAACGTGCTGAGGGTTATCCGATAGATCTTTATTACCTGATGGACTTGTCATACTCCATGAAGGATGATTTAGAAAATGTGAAGAAGTTGGGTAGTGACATTCAGAGGGCTCTTAACGAAGTCACCAAATCTGTGCGCATTGGTAAGACATAATGTGTATTTGTTTGAAAATTCCTTTTCCAGGAGAAATACACAAATAAAACTCCAATGTAAATTAATACAAACTGTGCTGAATTTCTTCCTTAATTCTGAAAGTCTTCTCCAGCTCCCTGTCAGAGTATCAGAGTGTCTTATATTTAACCAGAAGGTAAAAAATTTTTTTAAAAATTGTTTGCAATTTGATTATATTTTGAAGTCCTCTGGTGAATTACCGACACTTCTTGGTTAAGTAAATAACCAAACCAGTTTTGAAATTCACAGTTGTCTGAGGTATGTCCTCCTAAGAAGAAATGCTTATAAATTGGAGTCAAGGTTAAGCCCCTTGCCTTGAGCAAATGGCAAAGAATGCATGTGTTAAATATGTATCCAATTAAATTGATCTTTATGGTTATTTCTGTAAAATTTGTTCAGTATTCCTTTCACACAAGTACTATTTTTGGTTGCTCAAGAGTCAGTGATTACATAATCTCTGTATGATGGAAATAACATGGGTAACCATGGCTAAGTATAATTTTCCATAATGATAATTATAGTCTACTTAGTATTTTTGTTTAAGTGTTTTATCACAGGGGCTGGAGGTTAATAGAACTGGTAGATGATTAACAGTTTTACTTTTGCAGGTTTTGGTTCCTTTGTGGATAAGACAGTGCTTCCCTATGTAAGTACAATGAAATCCAAGCTGCAGAACCCATGTCCATCTCGTACAGAGCGTTGCCAACCACCTTTCAGCTATCGGCATGTGCTGGATCTGACCTCCAACCTCACCTTGTTTGAAATGCGGGTCAGTGCAGAAAACATCTCTGGTAATCTGGATAGTCCGGAGGGTGGATTAGATGCCATGCTACAGGCGGCTGTATGCACGGTAAGGTTCCAATTTGGAATGTAATTCAATCTCCATGCTATTTACAGTTAGACCTTACCACAACTGGTTGATCAGCAGGCTGACCTAAAAGGAACCCTCTTTAAGGAGTAATTTATGGAGTGATGCTAAACTCATTGCTCAATCACATAATGCAAATTGTAGGTTTGCATAATTGCACCAAAATTAGTGAAATAGAAACATTTTGACAGGGTTACGGCCTTTAATTACCAAATTTAAAACCCTTGAACTAGACATTTCTCTTATCTCTTCTCCAGGATCGCATTGGATGGAGGAATGTTACTCGTCTCTTGGTGTTTGCCTCAGATGATGTCTTTCATACAGCTGGAGATGGAAAGTTAGCCGGTATTTACTTGCCAACCGATGGTCACTGCCATTTAAATGAAAATGGAGAATATGACCACAGCAACATTTATGTGAGTGATTTTTCAAAGTGGAAAACTCCCACAATTTCTTTATAAGGCAATTTTATTAGCAATATGGCAATGAAATAAAAATACAAAACAGACATCATTAGAAGAAGAATGAAAATGAAATACTATGTAACTGGTGTTTCAAAAGCGTGTGGTCATTGCCAAGTTTTGTAAGTTTCTTAAAGAAGGAAACAGTGGGAACAATGAACTCAAAACATAATAAAACAAGAATAAACAGAAATAAATTTAAAGAGAAACTATTATGCCAGAAACTTTGCATAGCATGAGGACGTCTAGCGTCAGTTAGGCAACTAAAAGTCGCCTAACCACCCGGAGGTCCCCTGATAGACAGCCACTAGAGGTGGAGTCAAACCTTAAAGGCAATTATTGCAGTTTCTCAAAAACTGTACTAATTACCATTGCAGAGTTAAGGGACCTGGGACACTGCACCCAGACCACTTCAATGAGCTGAAGTGGTCTGGGTGCCTATAGTGTCCCTTTAAACCAAAATCTATATAAGAAGATATTTATCATCTTCCAATCAAAGAAAATAACAGAAACTGTGAGTCAGCTATGAAGTGAGTAGGCAACCAAAAGTATGGAGACGAGACACTTTGTAGTACTCTCTGACAGTCTGTGTGATTTAAAGATGACTGTCTCGTGTTGGAACTTCAAAACCTTCTAGAACAATGTTAGATCTTTCCAAGGCAGGTAATATCTTACTTTTTTTATTTATAAAGATGGGGATGATCCAGACATACAACAACATGATTTTTGCATATGATAAGAGTTACTATGACCCTGCTAAACCTTCCATTTAATCTATAAAGTTTAAGCTACTGGAAATAAAACCCACGAAGAGATAACGGTGGACAAATATTTTACACCATTATTCACTGCCCTAAAACTTTATTAAAAAATAAAAGTACATCCTCTGTCCTTGGAGACCTACATTCCTGAGATATAGCTCTGCTCTCTTGTCAACCTTACCCAGTGCTGGCTGGTGAATTTTAAATATAGTTGGGCATCCTCCCTTCCCCTCTCCCTCCCTCCCCGACTTGTTGGACTCGGCTCACTTAGCTCCATTACTCAATCTTTAACCCAAAGAGGAAGCAGGCTTTGTTCAAACCTGTAAAGCTATGGATAAACATTTTTGAGCTACAACTCCACCTACTGGTGCTGTTACCCAACAACAACCGAGAATAATACACAAGCCACATTCAGGACAATATGCAAGCTTCTCTTTAGGGCCTAGAGAATCTGATCGCCCCATGCAAAACCAATGACTGTAAGCAGAAATCCGGAAAATATATTAAAAAGTGGAGATTGAAGCTGTATGTATAATCATTGCAGATAGAATATTTTTTGCAGCACAGTCTTTACCTATGATAAAATTGCTGCCCTAAAACATCATAAACTAAACTGTAAACAAAATACAGAAAGGTAAACTGTGAACAATCAATCTGAAAAATTACTGAAACCATTAAAATTCAGAAATTTGCATATATGGTCAATATATTTGCAAATAAGGGTATTTTGTGGATGAAACAAATGTATCACCTTCTCGAATGTTCCTTTTTCAGGATTATCCCTCAGTTGGGCATCTAGCTCATGTCCTCTCATCCGCTAATATTCAGCCTATCTTTGCTGTCACCAATGATGTGATCTCCACGTATGAGGTGAGTACGTGCAATGGCAGCAATCGGGGGTGTAACTATATAGTTTAAGGTGATTGCATTTCTCCTACAAATATAGACATAAAATATGTGACACACAGACTGTTGATTATTTCAGTTCTGACATTCATTGTGTTCTGTAGGTCTGGTTTAACGGAGCCAACTGATCTTCTTAGATGCACAGATCAATGTCTTGTTGGCTTATGGTCAAGAGCTCTTGTCTGTGACATCAACTGTAACGCATGTAGAAAGCGATGCAGAAAGCCCAGTTTGTCTTCCAGCTTTTCATTGTCAAATTAAATTTATGTGATGGCACTTTTGGGCAGGAATAGAAAACTACTTTATGTATTTCCAATTTGGTTTCCAAGTCTCATAAAAGACTCGCATCCACGCGAATTTACCCACAAATGTTCTGTACTTTTTTGCATATTGTATTGGTTGTGTGTGTGGTGTATATCATATATCAAAGAAGCCATTATTTGTTTTCCATGTAATATCCCAAGTGCAGGAGCTGAGCAAACTGATTCCAAAATCTGTGGTTGGAGAATTGACAAAGGATTCCAGCAATGTAGTGAACCTCATCTCTGAAGCCTATAACGTACGTCTCTGCTGCAGGATAAAACCACAATAAATGTTAGAGATTGTAATGTCTTTTAAAGCAGGGAAATTACAAACATTTTATGTTCATGTAACATTTTAAGTTGTTGTACTTTACAACAGATAGGTCCACCTTATAAACGACATTAGGATCAATTATCATGCAAAAAATGTTCCGATAATGAGTTATTTGTTTTACCCTGGAACTGAAAGGATTAAAGGGGGTTTGTTTGTCATGTTCTTGTAGATGAAAAACCCAGAACATGGACTGTGAAAGCCAAAAAATATTGAATTGAAGAATTTTCCAATTCAGTTACATTTAACAAAGTTGTCACAGTTAGTTTTTTAAATTAACACTCCATTGACATTTTTAATGCATTTTTTCTATATATCTCATTTGGTGGCATGTAAAAAAACAAAACTTGTGAAAGCTGCAGATATGCTGTCTTTGCTAAACTGAACAATGACAAGTTTCTCATTGAGAAGTCTATATTTCATCTGCAATCGTGCACACAATCGTGGATTTCTGGGTCTTCTCAATAAACTGTAGTACAGTTCATTGAGAAGTGGTGGAGGCAGGTGTGTAGCCCAGTGTGCCTACCACTTCCGATGGTTCATATGGCACTACCAGAAGCAAATAAAAACCTTCCCAGCTGTCTGAGGGCAAAAGAGACAGATAGAGGCTTTAACTAAACCCATTAGATTTTAGTTGTGTCAACTAATATCTACTGGAGATTTAGTCGACTAAAACTAGACTAAAAGGAACACAATTCAGATGATTAAAATACAACTAAAACAGATTTTTAGTCAAAAGACTATGACTAAAACTACTTTGAAATTTGCCGCCAAAATTAACACTGGTTGATAGCACTGGCTAGGGAGTATAGGAACAGATAGGGCCAGATTAACATAGGGGCTAACAGAGCTGAAGCACTAGGCACATGCCCTGTTTTACACTAAATTTCCAATGCTCTTGCCTTGTGCAGAGGGAATTAAGTATGGTAACTTAGGAGGATTGTAGAGGAGCAAAACTCGCATAGACTGGCTTACTATAAAATAGTTATAGTTAAGCTGACTTTGCACACCTTGTAAATAACAATGTGACATGACCCTTTAATTCTACATTTACTATATCCACATTTTTTCCGTGTCTGACCGAATACCAGGAGCTCCAGCCTTCTAGTAAGAAGGGAAGGAGAGGATTGGACAAGTGAGTGCTGGGGGACACCAGGGAATTTTCCCCAGAAAGCATAGAGTGAATGAATAATTAAACACATTTGCTAAACTCAGGGTTCTGAAATAGCACTGTCTGCCCAGACCATCCTTAATTGGCTGGCAGCCTGTCATATATTTATACCAGGGTGACCTTCCAGTTCTTCGGGCAGACCTGCTCCTTTTACTGCATGGGTCTACCCCTTTAGGCAGGGCCAGTGATGTGATTTACATCACTGGTCTACCTCTTTTTACCTTTCCCAATGACAGCCTGCTTCACAGGATGCCGATGCTGGGGGTATGGATTTGGTTACAGCAGTTACATTCAGATTAAAAAAAAAAAAAAGTTCATTAGCCTTATTTAAGTTATATACAGCTTAGAAACCTTACCCATGACATTTTTACTGTAAGTATATATTTTGCTTTCTTTATGCACACGATGATGAAGACCACACACTGTGATCATTTTAATTAAACTGTTGGCTGTTCTCATTATGGCTGATGTCAATCAGTGTGATTTTCATGGTTGATTGATCAGCTGTAAAACGTTTGGATCAGAATTTCCTATTGACAATAATCCCTGACATCTATGCATTTATTATCTTCCAGAACTTATCTTCCACTGTGAACTTGGAGCATTCAAATCTCCCTAAAGGGATCAATATATTGTATGATTCTCACTGTCTTGACTCATCTAGCAAGGGACAACCCACAGGGCAATGCTCTGGCGTCAAAATTAACCAAGCGGTAAGTAACCACAACTTTTACATAAAAAAAACTTATTCTGAGCTAGGGGATTCCCCACTATGACAAGGTAATGTGAGGTAAATATTCAATACTAAGGAAGGGAATGTACAGTTTGAGATGTAATGGTAATAGTAGATTATTGGTTTTAGATAATTCCTTTTCTGCTGCTTATATTTAATTTTTATTTATTTTTTTGAAAAGCTGATATTGATTTCAGACAGAACATTGATTATGAACTTTATATTAACAAAAACCAGAGGTTCCATCAGAATGCTAAACCGGAATGTAAATAAAATATATTTCCTCTAATTTAAAGTGCACCTGACAGGACAGGTTCATCTTAGCAAATAAATGGTTTAAGGCCTATTGGGGTTTTTTCTGGCTCTGCAGGATTTCAAGTTTGGATACTGATTCCTACCACCTTTAGCATTTCTAGCCAATGAGGCGGTCATGGTGGTTAGAGTAAGCCTTTATGGTCAAAACAGCTGAACTGGAAATGTCTCTAAGTTAGCTATGCTTTTAATTAGTGTGGCCTTAAATTTGAAAGTCACTTTAAATTCTCCCTTTAGTAAACGACCCTGTTAGTGTACTATCTATTTTTTTTTTAAATACCATAACAGGGACACTTAAAATTTGACACGTTGGACTTTATGGGCCAGTGGCGACAATTACTGAATAAAAGCATAGAGCCATTTTGAAATTGTTATTAAAGGGTTAATACTTGTCATGTTCTTATGATTATGTTATTTAATGATTATTAAATTAACAGGTGAACACTATAGTCTTACACAAAAAGGACATCAGGGTTTTTAAACTTTAAAAGCATATTAAATACATCAAAAATATAAGTAAGTAAAAATATATGTAAATAAAAATACAAATTGTGGGCAGGTGGGAGCTACTGATATCATTAATCGGGGAGGACGGATCTAATGTCCTCCCAGCCTCCACCCATAAGCGCTGGGTGGATGTTATAATTAAATACAAAAGATGGGTGGACATGCCACTCCTGTGACGAATAGGCAAACAAAAAAGATGAAGTCATGTTCTACTTAGCCCTAAGAATCAGTGTGATGTAAAGTTGTCGGGCTCCTGCAATAGCTGGCCAGTTGCTAGTTTATTACAGTGAGATGCTAGTGACTTCTTGCCATTGTGAGGATATGACCTCACATGGTCAGTGGTCGCATGAGGGAGGTTTTAAACCTTCCTTATACTAATGTGGGGGTCATTTTGACCGCTACCATAGGCATTTAATCTCTTTGGTTTATTATATATTTTTTAACAGGATTAGTCATTGAAAAGGGCTGATAAATGTCATTCCAATGCAAATTTATCTGCAGTTATTTCTTAAGCAGCCGACCAATTAATGTTGACTATAAATCAATCTGAAATTCAGAAAAAAAATCGTCCTAAAAATACAGTCCATGTTTATGAACTGTTTTTGAACCAAATAATTTGGACAAAATGGAGGCCTTTGTTATAAAGTGAAAGCTTAATTTAGATTGTCTGTGCATAGCACTTTTGCTATTTTTTTTCTTTGAAGATTGTAGTACTGGGACAAAATGCTATATGAGCACTAGTTAAACATTTTAACATCATGAATATCAACTCAGATAGTGGTTATTACTTACTCTGCTCTTTCCACTTCTGCCCCTGCAGGTAGAGTTTGATGTGACAGTGTGGGCAAACAGGAGAATCTGCCAAGATGGGGCACAGAGCTTCAAGCTTCGGGTACTTGGGTTCAATGAGGAACTGAACGTGCATATTGAGCCATTGTGTGACTGTAATTGTGGGGATAATGAGGAGTTCTCTTCTTACTGCAACGAAGGTCTGGGTAACTACAGCTGTGGCGTCTGCAGGTAAATTATTTAATAAGTCCATTTGCACCCAGCTTGCTTAGATATTTTGGCAATGGCCAATTAGCTAACTCAATTTTAAAAAGATGCTGAAAATGACTCTCACTTCTGGTCATTTTTTAAGTACTGCATAAAGATAAAATCTCCATGAAATAAAATTTAATTGAAAATTTCAACACAGTCAAAATATATTATAAGACTCTCAGAGAAGGTCTACGAGGTCTACAGAGAATCCCATGCCTTGTTCACTGCTGACTATAGCGAACTGAAAATGTAATTACAAAATTTAGAAAAAAAAATCTCTGACTTGCTGTAGTCACAGCTTGACTATTTTATTCTAACATTTGCAGTTCTTAAAGACAAAAATACTAACATTCAACATTTAGTGAATAAATCCCAATCATGTAAAGAATTTCTCCACATCTTATACTCAAATATGGTACCAATTTTCACTATCTTTTTTTCTATCTATAAGAAAAATAATACACATAGGAGCACACATGGTGCAGTAGTGTATAGTCCAAAAATATCATATTTATAAAACATACCATGATGTGTGAAAGGGAATTATATGTAAGGATCCAAATATATCACTGAGCCCCTCTAAGAATTCCTTTCCTTCTTCTTTGTAGATACAAATGTTTCACTCGCAGACTTAATATAACAATACTAGCAGTATCAAATATCTGTTAATAAAGTCCACCTTAAACTTGTGTTGCAGCAGCTTTAAAGAGTAAAAAAAATCTAAATCATGTTTGTCTCCTTATCAAAAGTTCTCCCCAATGGCGCTTTCTGAAATTTGCTTTGCAAGCAATGAGCTGTTTGCAAAAGGCATCAGAAAAAAGGAGAGGAAAGGAGAGCTGAGAGGAGATTCAATATTTTCATCCACTGCAGTGTTAATTTTGTCGACTAACAATTTTAGTCGACTAAAAATTTTGAGATTTAGTCAACTAAAATACAACTAAATTTAAAACAATTCAGATGACTAAAATATGACTAAAACTAAAATGGCATTTTAGTCAGAAGACTATGACTAAAACTAAATTAAAATTTGCCCACAAAATTATCACAGAGGGGCTGTGAAGGGAGCATAAGAAATGGAGGAACTGGGAGGACACAAAGAGACACAGAAGAGCTGGGGAAGGGGCAAGAGAGACAGATAGAGGCTTTAACTAAACCAATTGGATTTTAGTCGTGTCTACTAAAATCTCCAGTAGATTTAGTCGACTAGACTAAAACTACAACAGTTCAGATGGCTTTGACTAAAAATAAAACGGCTTTTTAATCAAGAGACTATGACTAAAACTAAATTGAAATTTGTCGCCAAAATTATAACTGATCCACTGCAGGCTCTTTCTCCTATACTTGGCGTACCTAGCGTACTTTGGTAACCAAACTCATTTTGACTCTTGTTGGATTGCCAAGAGTATGTGGGTGCTACTTTCATAGTTTGGCTTTATGTTATCATTGCATGACAATTAGTATTGTCTCTTCCAATTATCCAATAAAGGATAATACAAGATTAAGAACAGGTGGTCTATCTTTTAAAAAGTCATAAAAAATAACATCCCATTACATGTATATACAATGGAATATCACCTAAATTAGTAAATCTTAAAAGTGATGCAATTTAACTAGTTTTTCAATATACCATGCAGAAATAGCTCACTTATAATGTGTGTGTGTAATAAGAATAAATAAATTAGTACAGTTTGCTGTTAAAGGGTAAATTCTTGCTTTTTAGTTCTTATTTTAACAAGGAGCATTTCACATATTTAACAAGGAGCATATCACTAAGATTTTGTTAAGAATATTTAGCTGGAAGTTACCTATTTTGAAAAAGTTTTTTAACGCCTTAAAGACACTTCAACATAATCAAAAGACATATCATGATTCCCTTTTATTCCAGAAGTTTGGTCCTTAAGGGGTTAAGTAATTCCTATACAAGTGGCATATTGACTAAATCACTTTTTTCAAGAATGCAAATAAAATATTTATTTAAAATATTTACCTGCAGTCCAGTACCAGGCGAGGCTCCCAGTGTTTTTTTCTGCACCCATCTCCAACGCCACTGGGGCTGTGCACGGTCCAACAATAGGATTCTCATAGTGGGTAGGAGGGAGTTTTTTTTTTAAATCATGGAACATGGAGGAAGGTGGGAGGGAGCACAGAGTTTGAAGAAGGGTGGGAGGGGAGATCTATCTTCCCCTTGCAGGCAGGGGATTTTAACATCTGTTGTCAGCGTGCAGTGTATGCTGACAACAGACATAATTTAAGCACAGAATTGAGAATTAAGCAGCACGGAACAGAGTTCTGGGCTGTTGAAGCCATGCGTGCTGGGTGTGCAAGTAGCTCCTGGCATATAATTGCCAATAGCTTAGTATGTGCAGTGTTTCAAGCTGAAACACTGTACATAATGACTCCTACCACCATGACCACTTCAAATCACTGAAGTGGTCATTGTGGTTGGAGTAAAAATAGTCACAGGAACCGCACTCACTCCCAATGGCCATCGGTGCTCCAGAACAGGACCAGCAATCCCAACACGTCAAGGCAGCAAGAAAGATTCCCAGGCACTCAGAGTGTGAAAGCCGCAGGCAGATTTATTGAAACAAAAAGGAGAATAGCAACGTTTCAACCTACTAAGAGGTCTTTTTCAAGGTATTGTGGTTCGAGTGTCCGTTTAAGCAAAAGGAATTAAAATTAAAATAATTCACAGTTAAAGGACCACTATAGTGCCAGGAAAACATAACTTGTTTTCCTGGCACTATAGTGCCCTGAGGGTGCCCCCACCCTCAGGGTCCCCCTAACGCCGGGCTGGATGGAGAGGAAGGGGTAAACTTACCTCTTTCTCCAGCACCGGGCGGGGAGCTCTCCTCCGCCTCCTCTCCTCCTCTTCGGCTGAATGCGCATGCGTGGCAAGAGCTGCGCGCGCATTTAGCCACTCTCATAGGAAAGCATTATCAATGCTTTCCTATGGACGCTGGCATCTTCTCTGAGAAGCACGCAAGCGCCTCTAGCGGCTCTCAAGAGACAGCCACTAGAGGCTGGATTAACCCTAACATAAACATAGCAGTTTCTCTGAAACTGCTATGTTTATAGAAAAAAGGGTTAACCCTAGCTGTACCTGGCACCCAGACCACTTTGGTCTGGGTGCCTATAGTGGTCCTTTAAACCACTTTTTGAAAAGAACAGTTTGATAATAACCCCCAGAGTTGTAATTGGTTATATGTAGTGTTCAAAATTAGTTTTTTAATATGTATCAGCATTAAAGTTTAATTGAAACTTGTCAGTTTGGCTAAAAGTAGAAGTAAATGTAAATTTACATTTATAAATAGATTTAGAAGTAAATGTAAATTTATAAGCTGCTGATAAAGGTAAAAACAAAAAATAAAGAGTGACTTAGAAATGTTCAATGAAGTGTAACTTGGCCCAAAATAGGTTGGAAACCGCTGGTCTATGGCACAGCTATTCCTTCCCACTACACTGATATATATATTTTTTCTGTGGCCAAAGCAGAATTTCACCCCACCAGGTCCCACATCACTAACGGCCTTCTCTCATTATTATTATCTTGCACTGATGTTAAAGGACCACTATAGTGCCAGGAAAACATACTCGTTTTCCTGGCACTATAGTGCCCTGAGGGTGCCCCCACCCTCAGGGTCCCCCTCCCGCCCGGCTCTGGAAAGGGGAAAGGGTTAAAACTTACCTTTTTCCAGCGCTGGGCGGGGAGCTCTCCTCCTCCTCTCCTCCTCCGTTCCTCCTCCTGGGCTGAATGCGCACGCGCGGCAAGAGCTGCGCGCGCATTCAGCCCGTCGCATAGGAAAGCATTTACAATGCTTTCCTATGGACGCTTGCGTGCTCTCACTGTGAAAATCACAGTGAGAAGCACGCAAGCGCCTCTAGTGGCTGTCAATGAGACAGCCACTAGAGGATTAGGGGGAAGGCTTAACCCATTCATAAACATAGCAGTTTCTCTGAAACTGCTATGTTTATAAAAAAATGGGTTAACCCTAGAAGGACCTGGCACCCAGACCACTTCATTAAGCTGAAGTGGTCTGGGTGCCTAGAGTGGTCCTTTAAGGTCACCTAAGATGCTGAGCTTCATTAAGTCCTTAATTGTAGTATTTTGAGCACACACACAGGAATAGTTCTATTGTAGAGCTTTGCCTGAATATGCCCCACTTTATGTCACTGAGCTACACTTTCTAAAGAAGTGCCGTCATGGAGTTACCGTATATACTCGAGTATAAGTCAACCCGAATATAAGTCGAGACTCCTAATTCTACCCCAAAAAACTGGGAAAACTTATTGACTCGAGTATAAGACTAGGGTGGAAAATGCAGCAGCTACTAGTAAATTTCTAAATAAAATTAGATCCCAATAAAATTACATTAATTGAATATTTATTTTGTGTATGAGTGCAGTGTGTGTGTATGAATGCAGTGTGTATGTGTATGAGTGCAGTGTGTGTATATAATATAGAGTGTGTTTGTGTATGTGATGCAGAGTGTGTAACCTTGGTACGAGGTGGGCATTTGTATTATTTTTTTTTAATTATTATTATTTTAATATTACATTTTTTTAAAAATATTATTAATATTTTTATTTTATTTTAATATTATTACATTTTTTATTTTATTATATGATTATTTAAATTTGTATTAATAATTTTTTGTCCCCCCCCTTCCTGCTTGATACATGGCTAGGGAGGGGGGCTTTAACATTCCCTGGTGGTCCAGTGGCATGGGCTGTGCAGGAGGGGGGCTGGCAGCGAGCTGTAACTTACCTTTCCTGCAGCTCCTGTTAGCTCCCTTCTCCTCCGTGCCAGTCAGCTCCCCTTTTAGCTCCCACTGTAAGTCTCGCGGAGCCTTGCAGCGGTAACCCGGGGCCATGCTCTGATCCGCGGCTCTCGCGAGACTTACAGTGGGAGCTGACAGGGATGCTGACCGGCACGGAGGAGAAGGGAGCTGACAGGAGCTGCAGGAAAGGTAAGTTACAGCTTGCTGCCAGCCCCCAACAGGACTGCAGGGCTTGTAATGAGCCCGGCGGTCCTGGTCTGTATTATGGCAATGTAAGTTGCCATAATACAGACATGACTCGAGTATAAGACGAGTGGGGGGTTTTCAGTACAATAAATGTGCCAAAAAACTCGGCTTATACTCGAGTATACACGGGTATTTTGCTTTTTAACAAAAGATTTGCACAGATATGAAAATTTGTAGTCCATTTATTGTCCGATTTCCAATTTAATTTCCAGGTACATGGAATTCTATAATAAAATAATGGAACCTGACTATCTGTAGGAAACATATGGAAATAGATCAGTATTCTCTTCTCTTTCAGCTGCCCCGATGGCTACAGAGGAAAACAATGCGAGTGTCAACAAGACAAGCAGGACTCTGAATCAGACTGCAGGGTGGGGGAATCCCTGCCCTGCAATGGCCGTGGAAGGTGCGAATGTGGACGATGCGCATGCAACTTGGGTGTGAGAGGAGAATTTTGTGACTGTGACGACAATGGCTGTGAGAAACATGACGGCCAAGTGTGTGGAGGTAAGGACATCTCACATCACCCACGGCACATTTTAAAGGCAAACTGCATTCTAGATGCTATTCTGATAAGTAATCTAAATGATTCATAACATATAACTAATATTTACCCATGTCAATGGCTTATAGCAAATCTTTCACTTATGGAGTCTTAATTTATTTACAAAGACACTCCCCCTCAAAGTGGCATGTACACTTCATTATGACACCCTGGGGAAAAGGTCGGCATATGTATCTTAACCTCTCATTCTCTCTCTTTGGAGCCACCATCTTACTCTTAGATCCTAACTTTATCTGCTGGAAACCCACATCATTGGTCAGTGGAAGCTCCTACAAGACCAAGGAATCCTCTATATAGGATCTCATACATGATGATCTCATATCGAGCAAGAAGATGCTTGTTCCCATCAGCTGCCACTCATATGAAATGTTCCATTGCTGGAATAATGTGCCTCCATTTCAACAGAGATATATAAGTTTTTATGACACTTTCCTAATCTGTAGTATATAACTACAATCCTTAAACCATAAATCAGACATCTCGATTTCTGACACTTTTAGCCAATGAGCCAAACCTGCAGTGCATGACTTAGCTCAGCCGAGGAGCTTCCGGCTGCAGATGAGGCAACAGGAGGGCTTAGCTCAGTGGAGCTAAGGAAACTCTATGCAGCAGCTACCAGCTCAACTGCAGATGGCACTGGCGGTCTGAAGGTAAGTTGTCAAGTCATGCTTAGGTGGTTTGACTACTTACTTTAGGAGGATGCCATGGCACTCCTGGCACCATAACTGCTACAGATGATGACAGTGGTTATAATTCTTGGGAGTTTAAACAATCTTTCTGTTCTCCTTGCCATTTGCAGTGTATGGTGACCCTTACATGTGTTTAGTTAGTGTTCTCTGGCTTTGACTCAGCCTTTTCTTCAGTATTCAAACCCAGGCTAATTTGAGTGTATTTCTTTTATTTATTTATTTATTTTTGTATTAACATAAATGTACAGACATATGTCAGGTAACAATATTCAAAATACAACGTAAACATTTTGCGAACATCTGTCACATAAAATTATACGTTGGCATTGCCCTGTCTTATAGTACATGAGTGTAGGATTGTCGTTCCCATTTTGCATGCTAAGTGTGTGCGTTTCGTATCTGTCCTTACGGTTGCTTTATGATGGTCAATACTTTTTTTTGTTTGTTTAATCTAGAATGTGGAAAAGGAAATTAAGGAGAGGGGGATATCTAGCACTCTGGTATACCTCGATTTGATACCACCAGGACTACTGAGTGCTATTTCTGTGCCATGTGACCTTTGATGTTGTGACTGGGTTTACTATCTGCGCGTTTTCTAGTTAGGTATTCCTTTGATCGCGCGTTAGCACACTTATCTTCTACCTGTCCTATGGTAGCTATTTGGAATTTTTAACTCCGCAAAAAGGAAAGCACTTGGTATATCCTATCGGTGGTTCGTCCTGTGATTCCATCTTTAGCCTGTACCAGCTCTTCCCCTGAAAAAAGTGATAGAAAAATAAGGAGGAATAGTAAGGAATAGAAAGAATAGTAATTGGGACATGAGAAGTGGGGGGGTGAGGTGGGCTGGGGTAGGGGGCGTTTGATGGGTAGGGCATTTAATTTGACTGGCTGATTGCGCTTGTGTGTAACTTCCCACGGGACAGTTTTCCCAAGGTTTCCATATCCTAATGAAGGTTTTTGAGGTGCCTCTAATTCTAGCTGTTAGATCGTCCATTAAATGAACCTCTTTTATCCTATTTATCACTCCTACTATGGATGGCGTGCCTGGTTTGAGCTACTCGGAGGCTACAGCTCTCCTTGCTGCTAATGTAATTTTGTGTATAAGCTTTTGTTCATAACTGGTCCATCCATCTATGGGCCTGCTTAATAAGTATAGCCATGGATCTACATCAGGGGCTCTTGAAAAAACCTGTGATAGTAGGGCCCTTATCAGGTTCCAGAAAGTGATCATCTGTGGACATTCCCACCCAGTGTGGATATATGTCCCTCTCAATCCACAGCCCCTCCAACACACGTCCGTAGGAGTTTTTTTCATTTGATATAGTTTTACCGGAGTAGTATACCAACGAAACATTGTTTTGATTGATTGTTCCTGGAGGGTAACACACACAGAAGAGGTATGGTTAGCCTCCCAAATCTCCTGCCAGTTTATACCCTCCAGCACCTCCCCTAGGTCTCTCTCCCATTGATCTGTGTAGGACAGTTTACCCCAGTCCCTAGTTTCTAAGCAGAGGTGGGCATACATGAGAATTTGAGTGTATTTCTAACCTGAACCAGGCTGTATTCCCTGTTTTGTGTATTTCTGGTATCAGGACAGAGCTAGCTTTAGTGACTATGTTTATATGACATGGTTTTTTTTTTACATCTTCTGACATATTTCATTAAGCCAGGGCCTCTCTATCTTTTTCTGTCTTCACTTGTTAGGATTGTTAGATCTGTGTTGGGGTTAAATGTACTCCTGACATATAGCCACCTAATAAAAGGATGTCTATTTTCAATATTTAATTCAAAATAAAGATTTCTGATGTTTTGTTTTTGTTGCAAGGATGAATTGACATACGTATACTGATAATGTTGGTCCATTGTAGCAGTTATCCTTCTTTAATGCAACCAACAGCCATTATACGGGATGGAGAATATTTAAAAATATGTTAATACCTTTATGTAAGCATGCCTGTAGAATATGTCAATTGTTTATAGCTGGGCATAGCAAGAATGTGTGCCATAATCACCATTCTAGATCACTGAGCTATAACTAAGCTAATAGTGAACTGATATCTATTTTGGGGAATGGAAAAATATCTAAGCTTTTGCATGGTGCCTGGAGTCAAACCGATACAATTTCTCTTGGTTCTCATATGATTCCATGTGATTTAAAGGAGCATACATAGAAAAATGTATTTTTACTTTGTAAGCTAGTTATATTCAATATTGATATATTAAGGGGACTCCGATTGGTTAGATAGATAGATAAATGCTAGATAGCTAGATTCTCACATAGATATAATATTCTTCTCTCACCCAGGTATTTCCAGGGGAATTTGTGACTGCGGGAAATGCAAATGTTTGGCTAATTACACTGGCGATGACTGCACTTGCAGTCTGGATACAAGCGCATGTATGACCAGCGAAGGAATATGCAGCGGCCATGGACGATGTGTGTGCAACAAGTGTATCTGTGAGGAAGGGTATCACAACAAGGTGTGTAAAGAGTGCCCTCAGTGCCCGACGCCATGCCAAAAACACAGGTGAGCTCACAGGTGTATTTGTGATTGGCCTTCTCGTGTGAAGGACCTTTGAAGAAAAATAAACATTGCATGCTTCTTATTAGGGTCTGCAAGCTGTTATCTCAATGTGCTTGCTAGTAATAAATTACATTATACAACTTGTATTTATAAGTACATTTCATGTGGTTTGATAGTAGTCACCATTGTCACATCATTTAGAAAGTTAGAAAGTTAACAACCTTTTTTTCATATAAACACATGAAAGGGAATAGATTTAAGTACACTTACAAAATGAATAAGCAAAAATAAATAAATAAAAGAGTAACACAATAAAGGGATTGAATTTAAATACACTTATAAAATGAATAAAGACTTAAGTACTCAGCCTTTTTTGTTATTAAATAAGCATTGATATACATGACACAGAGGGAAAGAGTCAGAGGGATAAAGGGAAACAAAGGGTAAAGGGAAAAGAAAGGGTCACAAAAGATACAATACATTTTACTTAATACGCACTTGTAATACAAATGTATTTATATAGAAATCCCTCCTGGTTAAGGGGATATCACTTTAGTAATAATTTTTGTAAGAATTATGGAACCTAAATGAAAACTTCACGTTGGCTTGATAGGATAAATACTTATCCCATAATAGACTAGATAACCACTGAGAACACATGGGTTAAAATATTAAAATGATTATGTGTCAATTCACAAGATGTGTTTTTATGTTTTAGATCAGGGGTGGGGAACCTTTGGCCCTCCAGATGTTTTGGACTACATCTCCCTTGATACTTTGCCAGCATTATGGCTGTCAGAGCATTATGGGAAATGTAGTGCAGAACATCTGGAGGGCCGAAGGTTCCCCACCCCTATTTTAGATAAAAAGATCCTTTTTTTTCTCTCTCTCCTACCCTAAACAAGGGATAAAGAGTCCTCGCCTGATCGGCAGACATTTTTTTTAAAAGGACAGATTGGAGGTATTAGATATCGCACCCTGGTCTCATGGATGGGACTGGAAATGGGAAGCGGCCCATGGTGGATGTATAGATGGCATGAATAGCTGTCCCTTTTTTGTTGTTTTTTTGTTTTGTTGTATGTGTGCACTGTCGTGACTGTGGACTCCTATGGCTAGTGATTTATTAGGGAATTTACATGAAAAATTTATTAAAAATAGTTACTTTTAATGTAAAAGGCCTCAATATACCCCAAAAGAGAATCATTTTCTTAGACTGGCTTGATAAAAGCAATATAGATGTTTGTGGTATACAGAAGACTCACTGGAAGGGCAATAATGCTAATAGAATTATAAGTAAAAAAATTCCAAATGAAATAAATGCTTCTCTAAGAGATAGTAAAAAATGTGGAGTAGCTATTCTTATTTCAATTTTTTTTAAATACGAACACATACTGAAAACGTGATAAAAAGGAAGATTTATTTTCCTGATATGCAAATTGAACAATAAAATATTTTCTCTTAATGTTTAAGCACCTAATGAAAAACAGGTGCACTATCAAACGGAATATTGTATAAATTTCTTGATAGAATCAAGAGTACGTTTCTACTCTTTGGAGATTTTTACTGTATTGTAAATGTCGAAAAAGATAAGCTAAAGACAAAAACTTGACCTAAAAACACGGTGGTTGGCAAGATCTTTTCAAGATACCCTTGCAAAATGCAAACTATATGATCTGTGGAGAACACATTTCCTTTTGGAAATGAATACACTCACTTTTCACATAGACATCACTCGTTTTCCAGACTTTACATGATTAAGTCTCATAACACAACTGCTAGTCTATGTAAGAAGATAAAATTGGATAAAGTGGCCCTGTCTGATCATAATCCAGTCTGTTTGGAAATAGAGATTGACTATATACTAAAAAGGGGTAACTGGAGAATCAGAGATACCCTGCTCAACAATAAGGAAACAGTGGAGGAAATTACCTCGGTATCGAATCTATATTTTAAAGAAAATTTAAACAGAGAAGTTAGCCAAGGCAAAGTATGGGGTGCCTACAAATGTGTTATCAAGGGACATTTACTTAAAATAGAGGCCCATATTAAAAAAGAGCATTGCCAGTCCCTAAATGATCTCTATATTAAATTGGATAATCTTGAGAGCATAAAACCTAAAGATAAAGAGGTGATTAAAGAAATAGTTCAAGCTAGAAATAACATTAGAGTCTGCTGCCTATACCAAACAAAACCTTACTCAAATGGAAACAGAATTAGTAGTATCAGGGTAACCACACAGATACATTTCTAACCAACTTTAAAAATCTCATCTTAAAGAAAGAAATTTTCAAAATCACAAGAAATGGCTGCTTTAATATCCTGATCAAATTGAATCTGTGTTCAGAGAATACTACCACCATTTGTACAATTTTTATGACTGTAATAAAAATATCAATTTGGAATATTTAAGAAACTTAAAACTAAAATCACTGAATACAAAACAAAAGGAACTTATAGAGAAATCATTCTGTTTATTTTTCCTTGTGACATGCAGTCCCTGCGCAGAGTGCAAAGCCTTTGGAACTGGTCCCTTGAGTAGTACTTGCTCTGCTAAATGTGAAAATGTTAATGTCACCATGGTCAAAGCGTCAGATCCCAGATTGAAGGACAGAGAAGGATGGTGCCAGGAAAAAAAAGAGGACTCTCTAATTACATTCCATATCACAGAAGATGGGAAAATGGTTCATATTCTTGTGAAGGAAAAAGGTGAAAGAAAAGAAAAGTGGATTATTGAGGGCATGTTGATGATTAAGTGGGATGGTAGCAAATGAAAATACATAAATGGGATATTATTGCTTTACTCTCACGGCAAGCATTGTTTGCGTATATCAAACAGCTACATCTATTTTAAACATCTAAGAGCCTTTAATGTTTAGCTAATACTTACCACCCTTACATACTCAAAAGTGTTCCCCCAAAGATTAGCCTTTTATTTGCTTTCTTAAAAATCACTCACAACATCTTACGCTTTGCTCAATAACAGTACCTGTGTTGCCTTTACAAAAATGGCCCTATATGTTAAAGGAACATTTCAAGCACCATAACCCCTACGGTGATCTGTAGCAGGTGTGGTGTCAGGAGTGTCCTTGCCACCCTCCTCACTCCCCCCAATTTCCTACCAAGGTTCCACTGGGTGATTCTCTTTGCATCTCCTTTTCTAGAATGAGTTTACTCTCAGCAAATGCTCTAAGATATTCACCAGCCGTCTTAGCTCAGAACTGTGAGTTACTGGTTCTCTTAGAGGCACTAACATTGGAACACTGTAGTGGCTTTTTAAAATTCCATTAACAGCAATAACCTAAAAGAATTCTCATGTAAAGTATCAATTCTGATCTCTTTCATCTTGCCTCTTCTTCTAGCTACATTCCAATTCACATTCCTAGAATCCACCAACTTATGCACAGCTTGTATTGAAACTTACGAGAATGAATCTTTACATATTTTCTAAAAATTTGTTTTTTTTCTTATTTACTCACAGAGGTTGTAGATCAAACACATCTAATTATGGGTCTGGTTTTGGGCACTGCAATGATTGGGCTGTTGATCATCGTAGCGTACCGTGTGGCAGTGGAGTTAATTGACCGACAAGAGTACAAACGCTTCCAGAAAGCAAGAAATGAAGAACGATGGAATGAGGTCTGTAAATAACGCAAACTAAAAACAGAATCTGTTTTCCAATAGTTGGCACTACGCTTTTGTCATTAGATGTAACTATTTCACAAAGTACTCATCTAATAAACACATGCAAAAATGTGCTTTCATAAATCTGTAAATAAAATGCCTTGCAATCACCTAACGAAAATTCCGTAAGTTCAAAAACGAACAAAATCATCTGAAATTAAAATCCTAATTAAAACGATTTTAATTTGTATGATTTGGTTCATTTGTGAACAAACTGAATTTTCGGAATTGATTCATTCGAGTGGCGAGTGCAACACCCAGATACGGTTGATTATTCCTTTTTCTCTGCTCTCCACTCTACATACTCAAGAATCAATTTGGTTGTAGTAAATAGACTGTACATGAAAACTGTAGATATGATTGACATAAACTGCATATCATGGTCAGACCACACTGTCATTGACCTGTTTCTTAGACTTCCAAGGACCACGTCCTCCTGGACATGGCAACTAAACACCTCGCTCCTACTGGATGAGCAGATAGTGAAAGAACATAAAACCGTATCCGAAAATATTTTCAACATATTGATGATTTCCCTCCTTTTACAACTTTTCACTTACATCTTCTTATTTCTAAAATTAAATTATGTTCTAAGGTGTACAAACATACGCAGCAACTGAAGCAGACTGGATCTCTTGCAACTTAGTAATCAATTAAGATAATATAATTAATTTAGCTTGTGTGGTTTTATTTTAAAAAAAAAAAAGAGAGAAAGAGAGGATCACTATACTGAATCGGATTTGGTGTAAAAAAAAAAAAGATTTTCAAAATTCAAAGATTACTTGGTTTGCATAATGACAAAATAACAATAACTTATCCACAATATGTTAGTATTTTTCTAAAAATCAGATAGAGGACAACCAAAAAATAATTTTCCCCCCTACTTTATCTTTCAGAGCAATAACCCACTGTTTAAAAGTGCTACAACTACCGTGATGAACCCAAACTTTCAGGATTAATGAATAACCGTTTTTGTCATCTGGACTGCTGGGAACAGTTTTGTAAATTTTTTTTTTTAAAAGCCCAGTACAAGTTGGTTGGAGATTATATATGTCTCTTTACCAGTGGCTGACAGCTGTAAACCCACACCATTGAACAAGTATTGACTGTTTCTGGGAACCCTGGTACCTTGCCTTGATATATCTGCAAGAAACAATATTATTTCCAGTCAAACAAGATTAGAATCTGATAATTAAAACATTAGTTGATGGAATGCCTGATGTGATGGAATATACTTTTGTTCTGGATGCCTTTATTTAAATACCGAAAACCCCTCGAAATTGTACATGGATACAAAAGAACAACTTAAGAACTGTGTGCTATTGGTTCATGACCAAGGTCTCTTCTAGCTTGAATAATAAAGGGGAAAAAAATGGTCCACAGATAAGTGGAGCATGGTATATTTAATAAGTGGTATTTCTGCATACCATACTTTTTTCATGTGAGCAAATGCAGTTTCCTTGAGGATATATAGTAAGCAAAAATACCAAAAGGAAAATGAGAAACCACCTCTTGTTTAAACAGGATCTAGGTAGTATTCATTTTTTAATGTAACCTAGTCACCTTAGCTCTGGGTCAGGAACCAAAATTGGTTTCCTGTGAAATTCTATTAAATCTCCAATGGAGAGAACAGGTACATCATGTTTATCAAGCACCGGGCAGCTGCCAACACGAAATGGTCTTCTGTAGCAGAACTGTCTTCTTAAGGTATTCCAGAATTTATTTTGCTACATACTATTGTACAAACTGAAGAATGGATTACTGGGGTAATTTTATAATTAAATAGCTTGCCATGCTAATGCTACATCGACCGTTGGGTCTTGATAAAGAGAAAGTTAATAACCACTGGTTTATGAATAACTAGAATGATGGATTATTATAGAGGTCAACATATTCCGCCACACTTTGCAACTTTATAATGGGGAATAACCAGCAAATAACACAAAAAAGAAATGTTAACAGAAACAAAAAGGTGGAAGGGACTCAATGAACTTAAAACCTAGAGGAGGTAATTAACCATAAAAAAAGAAATAACTGGCTGACTTGTAACCTTACACTCCAGGCTGAAGCTGATTAGCATTTTAGTAAAATTATATAGATAATAAATCACAATATGTACAATAGTACCCATCAGGCAGGCTGTTGACAACATTAATAGTCATATATCACAATAGTCAACCCATAAACTGGATTATATCTGTTATTGTATCCCAGGCAATAGACAGATCTTGGGTGTGAAAATTAAGTTGTATACAAACCACTTGTTCATATAACCTCAGGATTGATGGAAGTCAATGTTCTGTTATGGATTTTTATATATATGTATGTACTAAGTATATGAGGCATTAATACTCTGTGCACCATTGTCCCTCACTTATTGTTTGTTAATATAATCTTCTTTTACCATGCAAATGTTGTAAACGAAACAAAATGCAAATAAAATAAAATAAAAATATGTACAAGAAAACACATGTATAATAAGTACATAGTTTTGAAGTTTGTATTTCGTGTAAATCCCAAGATGTATTTTGAAAAGAAGAGATGATAACAGAAAATGAGGACATAGTCCAAATTAATTCATACTAAATGAGCAAACAGTACAAGTTGCTGGTGATGGTGTGATGGCGTTGTGTTTGACCCACATTAGGTACCTTTAAGGGACATGCTGGAGTTGATTCTGGCTTATTCTTTACATAGATAATGGATTAAATACATGAAGATAATTAAATAAATAGATACTTAAAGTTGAAGAATATTTTAATAGGATATATAGATGCGTATTACTGCTCCTTAGAGGTGGTCGTGCTTTACGCAGATAGCAATAGAATATAAACCTGTGGAACAGATACTAAAATAGTTAGAATCAAGAAACGGTCTAGATCAATATGAGTACAGCAATCATGAGTACACAAGCTAGGGTCAAGAACAAGAAAAGGAGAGTAGTCAGATGCAAGCCAAAAATCAAATAACCAGGAATAAAAACAAATAAATAATATGCTATCGGATTCATCACAAGGGAAACCATGACAGAGCTAAGCCAGAATAGTGAGGAGTGCTTAAAGGGACACTGTAGGCACCCAGATCACTTCAGCTCATTGAAGTGGTCTGGGTGCCAACTCCCATCACCCTTAACCCTGCAAGTGTAATTATTGCAGTTTTTATAAACTGCAATAATTATTTTGAAGGGTTAAGTCCTTCTCTAGTGGCTGTCTACCAGACAGCCACTAGAGGGACTTCCAGGCTCCTAGAAGACATTTGGTCATCTAAATGACGCTGGACGTCCTCACGCTATGCATGAGGACCTCCAGCGTCGCTGTAATTGAATAATGCTTTCCCATGGGGAGGTCTAATGTATGCGCGCGCGGCCATGGGGTGTAGGTGGGGGAGGATCGAGGGCGGAGCCTGACACAGCGCCGAGGGACATCAGCGCTGGATTCAGGTAAGTGACGGAAGTAGTTTTAACTCCTTAAGTGCCGTGGGATGAGGGGCGGGAGGGAGGGGGCACTCCAATATTCTACAGTGCCAGGAAAACGGGTTTGTTTTCCTGGCACTGGAGAATCCCTTTAAATAGCTATAGAAACTTTTTGATTTGTCTCCATCATTCCTGGGACACCAAACTGTGCGCGGTGATGTTGCAGAAAGTGGGCGTATGACAGGGCATCCGTGCATCAAAAAAGGATGTGAGTTTGAATTGTCCAGTGACAGAAATTATGACAAAATGTTGCTTTGATGGTGGGAAGCATGCATTCACATCAAAACTGATGCCAGGATGATGCTGGAATGGTGACAATTGTGGTTTGTCACCTTGAGATATTTAAAATCAAATCTCTTTTATTCTATGTCCATAATAGTCACTTCTCTAGAATTAACACCATTAAATAAAACATTGACAATACTCTATAACCTTTTTTTAAATATATATCATATGCTCTTTTCTTTAGAATGTGTATAAAAAATTAAGCAAAAAAAAAAATATCTCAATCCAGTTCTGTCCAGGCACAGCCAAGGCACACATAATGAGGTTGACAGAGAGTTGACAAGTGCATTCACGAACGGCAAAAGACTGAAAATGTCAGTTTTTGGCTATTTAGTTCGAAAAAGAATACGCTAACCAAATGTCATTCGATGATTCGATAATTGTGCAGACAATTAGAGTGCAGTTTTGTGAATGTTATTTAAACAAAGATTAGAAAAAATATATATGTTTCACCACTAGTTGCAATTGCGGGGTACATTACAAATATTTTACACTTACCCCTAAGGGTTAATACAGCTTTTCAGAGCCCTAAGGTTTAACACAACTTTTCACAGTTGTAGATATAAAAAAAAATAGTATAGTGTAATAAGTTCAAAAAATACATGGAATGTAAAATCTCAATGGGCACACTCACATGGAAAAGAGCCACTTTTGACAGGCTCAGATCACATTTGGCTGCGTGTGCTTGGGTGACACTGAACCTCTTTTTTCTTAGATAATCTTCATATGTGGAAAAGAAGAGGGTTGGGGAGAAAAGGAAGCAACGTGGCTTCTAGTGCAATAAATCCCAGTGGTAAAATGTAAAGTGCAATGAGTAGATGGCTTCTCACCTTTTCAGGAGCCCAGACCTGGCTCCTGGTATATAAGCAAATGTGCCTTTAAGGGGGCTACTACCCTTCCTTAAACAGCAGCAATAGGAGGTCCGTTGGACTACTAAGTGTATATAAAATTTAATTTATTGAATTAAAAAATCAAATCAAATTATATAAATACACATACAGTTAAAAAGGAGTCCTGTAGACCGTCCTGTTCCAAAACGCGTTTTACTGTGTAATAACAGCCTTTTCAATCAGTAATTTTCCTGCTGTTGCCGATGGTTTAAAAACCCCTATGTTCCTTCTGATTGGTGGTTTGCTCAAAAAGACACCAATCGCGTTGTTCCATTCTAGTAGGTGTGTGTTAAACAGCTGTGTCCAATTGATGATCTCGTCCGGTCATATGACGCTGCACCCAATACTCTACATTGCGCACAACTTCCGTATTAGGCATATTCAGCTATGTGCTGTAATACACACTCGTACCGTCCATATCCTGGAAGTGATGCAGTGAATCAGACACCATGCCACTTCCTTACCTTGGCGGGCAAATTTTATGTGGTATATACCGGTCCTGTAGCGGTATATCCGGATCTATATTGATTCACCAATATCCCGGTTGCCATCTTGGAAGTTGGCAAAATTCCAGTAGTAGGGATAGTTCATTAATGTCATAGTAAATCGATCAGGCACATAACAAGAGTTGAGAGAATATAAAAACAAATCAATTCATGGGATAGAGTATTAGCTCATCTTTAAACATAGAGAGAGGAGGAAGCTATATCTAAAAACAAAAGCTAATAAAATCAAATGAATAAACTTAATCATCTATAGTGAGAGTCATGGGCGTCCGCAGGAATTTTTCCAGGGGGGGGCATAATTGTAATGACATCCATGCTTGGTACCTTTTTGACAGTGTCATGAAAGGGAAGGGGCATAGCCATTATCACATAAAGCCAGGTTGAATAGCGTTTTCACAACTATGGTGTCAGGAATATATGTTTGTATTCCTGACACTATAGTGTTCCTTTAAGCAAATTAAAGGACATTTCTGGTCACCATAACAACTTCACCTAAATGAAAATGCTATGATGCCAGGAAGCCCCTGGGTGCTCACTTTCCTTTAAGGGGTTAAATCGCTCTCAAATGGTTTAACCCCAAAGGCTTCCTCCAGCTCCAGGTCGCTCAGTGGTATTTGGCTTCTGAAACAGAGTGTCAGGAAGTGCAGATTGACGTCAGGCATGGGTGCCGCTGATTGGCTAGAGTGGTCAGTTGACGCTCTAAGCCAATCGCTAGTTCCCGGTTCATAAAATATTTTTACTTTTTTATGAATGGGGAGCTACTGATTGGCTTAGAGTGCCAGCTGACCGCTCTAGCCAATCAGCAACACCGCTACCCAACGGCACTCTGTGCTTCCTGACACTCAGTAAATAAAAGTGAACACATTAACACCGATATTTTTTTACCTTTGGAGATGAGAAGGTCCAGCGTTTCCCTGCCTGGCCCAGGTACCAAAGCCTTATGATGTGGTGTCCAGAATAAAGTGGAGGGTTGACTTCATTTGTCCTTCCTGCTCCAATCTCCTTTTCCTCTCCTTCATTTGACAGTCTTTTTTTCTTCTGACACTGTTTTCTATCCTTGGCCCCTTCTGCTCTTTTACCTTTCTGCTACTTTCTGCTTATTTTGCGCCCTTCTGCTCCTTTCTCATTCTGATCCCTTTCTGCTCCCTTTTCTACTTTACCTTTGTGCTCCTTGCTGTCCCTTTCTGCTCTTTCTCCTACTTTACCTTTGTGCTCCTTCTGATTCTTTCTGCCCCTTTACCTTTGTGCTCCTTGCTGTCCCTTTGTGCTCCTTCCTGCTCTTTGCAGGCCCTTCCTGCTCATTCACCTACTTTATGTTTGTGCTCCTTCTGCCCCTTCCAGCTCATTTCTGACCCTTTCTGCTCCTTCTACTTTACCTTTGTGCTGCTTTACCTTCCAGCTCCTTGCTGACCCTTCCTGTTCATTTCTATATATCTATAGGCTGCTGCCCCCAAATCTATAGGCTGCTGCCCCCCTCCCCAAATCTATGGGCTGCTGCCCCCCCCAAATCTATAGGCTGCTGCCCCCCTCCCCAAATATATGGGCTGCTGCCCCCAAATCTCTGGGCTGCTGCCCCCCCAAATCTAAAGGCTGCTGCCCCCAAATTCCATGGGCTGCTGCCCCAAATTCATAGGCTGCTGCCCCAAATCTATGTGGGCTGCTACCCCCCAAATCTGTGGGCTGCTACCCTCAAATCTATAGGCTGCTGCCTCTCCCCAAATCTATGGGCTGCTGCCCCCAAATCTATGGGCTGCTGCCCCAAATCTAAAGGCTGCTGCCCCCAAATCTAAGGTTGCTGCCCCCCCTTCCCAAATCTATGGGCTGCTGCCCCCAAATCTAAAGGCTGCTGCTGCCCCCCTAAATCTATGGGCTGCTGCCCCTAAATCTATCTGCTGCTGCCCCTCTCAAACCCTCCCCCATCCCTCACTTACCTGGTCTGTAGGCTGTCTCTGGCTGCATGTGTTGTTCCCCTGCGGTTTCAATCAGCAGAGAGAAGCAGGGATAAGATGCAGCTTCCTATCCCTGTCTCTCTCCATACACAGCGCCACCTACTGGCCGGCGCCGGTATTGCAGTTCATTTTAAATCTCACACGAAAAATATCAGAACAAGCTGAAAAATCCAGGGGGGGGCAAGTGCACCCCCTTGCCCCCCCCTGCGGACGCCCATGGTGAGAGTGATATTTGGTAACATTACTGTAATATCTAAAATTGCTTAGAGAATAAATGAATAAAAGATATATACAAAATATACACAAACAGAGGGAATATCTGTATATAAAAAATACATATACAAAAAAATAATAGGTCTCAATGT